GCCCCGTGTTAATCCGCCCATGTGTTCCTGATTTTCCCCTGTGTATTTATACCTCCCTTCTTGTATCAGTCTTGGTCGGATCATTGTTTGTTGTCAGCGTTGTTTTTGTTCTGTCGTTCCTGCTCTGCCATTAAAACTACTTTTATTTCATCCGTGCCTGCATTCCTGCCTCCTGATCTGCTCCACCACACATGGTCCGTCGTCATCCACACCCTCAACGTGACAATGTTACTGAGAATATACTTTAGGGTAAAAGCTGCAGCTGGGTATGAGTGCGGACTGAACGGGTGCCAACTATTGGAAAGTTATTTCATAAGTTTTATATTTATATATGTGCAAAAAAAAAGAACTACGAACTAGTTTTTGGAACAGTGAACTTAGTTCAAAATTTTTTTAAATTATGAACTAAGAAACAAACTTGTTTGTTTTAAAAAGTATGAACTGAACTCTGAACTAGTTAGTTTTTTAAACAAACTTTCCCAACACTGAGTGTGGTTACAAGACCGATGTTTGGAACATACACCAGGACTAACAGTGTCTGCATTCCAGTTTCTCTATACATCAGTGCGTGAGGCCGCTGTCCTTCCCTGTCTGACTACATTCTCTGCCTGAAAAAATAAATAATTCAAACATATACACAGACTTTTGACCCTAAAATTAATTTAATTGGATCATGCTTTTAACAAGCATGCAAATGATTAAAATAGAGCTCAGTGTTTGTACATGATCAAATGTGTTAATTGATCATTAGACCCAACCTAATCCATGAACATCCTGCGGTTTGTACTTTAGCGTATGTAGAAACCCAGGCTTGGTGAAGAGGGATTTAACAGCTCTGACTCGGCTCTACGTTTGCTTTTAGGTAAATAAGATTGTCTCCCACCTCTTTCAGCAAAACACAACCTACCTTATAACAGATACGCCTCTGAGCATTTAAGATTGTTCATTACCCCCATTGAACACAACAGAGTTTATAAAGTAGCTAAAATGCTACTTTAGCCAGAATTTCTTATCATCATCCACCCCTCTATGGCAGTAGGCAGAGATTGTTACAGCTTCCTGTCTGGGCTGTGTTCCCACAGCTGGTGTTCCCACGTGGTTTGTGTCTTTAAAGAGCCCATAAAAGGTGGATTATTAAGAATGGATCACATAATCCGTCACAGAAGGTTGCATGTTTCAACCAAAGGACCTTGGGAATAAGGTGGACAGATCAGAACCAAACATTGGAACATTCTGAGGTAGCCTTCCGTGAGCCCTGCTCCTAACTCTTCTGAATATCTGTGAGAGACTAAAACAGTCTGGAGAACGAACCCTTTAAGCCCGAAACAGCTGAAGCCTTCCTCTAGCGAGCATTAGGCCACGATACCTGTCGACAGGTGTGGAAATGTCTGTGAAAGTTACTGGATTCACACCTCAGCTCAGTATCTATTACAGGGTAGTTCTGAAGTGACCACTGATGTTCAGAGAGTGACAAAAGTTGGAAAACTGAATGTACAAAGATTTTCATTGGCTCCCACGTTGCAGAGTTCTACCAGTCATGTTGAAGTTTTCCATTCGACTGATGAGAGTGGATCGGCTAACCAACATGCAAAGTAGCGCCTCGCAGAGGCCTCCGGATTGGTTGCCCTGTACCCTCCTTCCTGTTGGGTCAGCTGGTTTACCTGAAGGGAAAACCCTTTCAGCGCTTACAGAGTGGTTCAGGAGAACAAGATAAACATTTCAGCCATGTCAGCAAAGGAAGGCACACCTCTGGTGAGTATGAGTTATGTCACTGTCCTTTTATTGTTTCTTTTCTATTTTTGTTCATTGCAACAAAAAAAACTAAATCGTAAATTCTGAGTAGGCTACACTGAAATGTGATTTAAAATGAAGATATTTTTGTCATAAATGTGAAAGTTCACATCCCATCAATGCTCAATGTTACATATACTGAAGTATTTTTGTTTTTGTTTAAGGCCTTCATTTTGAGAGGATGCGATTAAACGGTTCAGTTCAGGTTTTTTGTAACACCAAAAGTCAACTTCTATCAGAGGATGTTACATTTTGAAGTTACGGCCTTGCTGAGTTGAAGAAAATCCCTGTTGAGCAGCACTTTCCAACAGAGAAGAACAGATTAGATTTGACTAGCATAGAAATGTTTTTTCACACATTTATAATAGATGATCAATCAGTTACAGTAATCAAACATAAAATGTTATTTTTGCTTAAAATACTTTTTTTACTATTTTAAACACATTTTTAGCTTTAAAACACACATTATTTATTTATTTATTATTGTATTTTTATTAAGTTCTTTTTTCAGAGTGAGCTGCCAGACCCCACAGCTTAGCTCAAAGAGTAACAAAGATCATTTTAGTAAAGTATGTCTGTGCATGAAGGATAAAAGTGACTCCTTCAAACATTTGCTCACAAGTACACACACACACACACACACACACACACACACACACACACACACACACACACACACACACACACACACACACACACACACACACACACACACGGCTCAACATCCTTTCCTCTACTTTTGCATGCAAATCGTCCTGTTTGCATGCCCTGAAGTCGTTTCCCTCTCAGGACCGAACCTGTAAGCAAATGAAAGCTGCACACTACATCACACAGACGACTAAACAAAAAATGAACTTTCTTTCTTTGCTGTAGGTTAAGCAATGTATTTTCTTATTCAAAGTACACAGAGGGGCTGCTGTTTTCTGTGATAGAGACAAGCTCCATTGTTGCACTTCTTAATCATCTTTCACAAGCAGCTCAAGTGCCTATGCAAATAAGGCTGGCTGATGATGATGCGTTAACTGAGGCAACGGGATAATCTTATCAATATTGAATGAGTTTGCTTTTGTGTGAACTGTCATTTATTTCTACGAAAATATTTTTTGATGCAAGAAACAACTCTAAATATCTTGACTTGGAAATAAAAGCTACTGTTATGTCAAAAGCAACATTTAAACCAGGGTTTCTCTTACATAGGCCTAGCCGTGGCGACCCGCCACGGTTGAAATCCCACCGCCACGCCTACAAGATCCCAAGTTTTATTTATTTTTTTGCGCCGTTTCCCAAAGAAGCAGCAGGAACTACTATGTTGTCGCTGGTGATCACAGCCGGCGGGCAGCAAGGAGCAGGCAGGGCAAGGTGAAGTTACAGCATAAGTTACTGAGTTTAAAATTAGAAAGGTAGAAGTGGATATAATGCTTTTTGGTTTACATGTTTCAATAGCATTAAGATAAATGAGTGTTGACGATCTTGACAGGGTTTCCTCCAGTGCTTAGTAGGCTAAGTTTTCCTCCCCCCACCAGGCTAAGCATCACTTATTCATGTAAAATTTATTTATTTATTCATGTCTGGCTTTAACCGCATCTAATACTGTATTACGGCGTGAGCGCAACAGCGACAACTTAAGATCGATGTGTGAGCAGCCTGAGAGGTCGGGTGTTTTCATCTGAACCCTTAAAACCTCCAGCAGGCTACGTTGCACTATTGACGTGTTAGCGCGCGGCGCTAACAACTTAGCGACGTGACATGTCTTGGAGAAAGCGTAAAAACACGTTGGACGCTTCTTCTGAAGCGGGAAAATAACACCTCTTCTTAAGCAGAGCACGACGTCGCCTTGGCTCGTTCACCCTCTGCCGAGCCGGACTGAGCTCGATAACATGACCAACACAGCCACTGGGTCGTTGGAGCTGCCCCGTGACTGCCTGATGGAAAACCAGCGGGTTTCATCAGACTCGTAAAGTTTCTTATTTTTGCTGGGGACCCCCTGTATTTTACCGCTCCCTCCTGCAGTCTTCCCCTATTAACATTTAAAATGATCCGGTAAATGCCGTGTATCAATAGAAACAATCTATTTGGAACACTGCCCCACTGCCACACGGCCCCACTGCCACAGCTGGAAAAATTCCTAGGGGGAACACTGTTTAAACACATTCATAGAACGGTTTTTAATCATATTTTAGAAAAAGACAGCAAATTCTGTGTTTATTGATCTCAATAAACAGAAATAAAAGCCTATATCAAACCAGTGTTTGATTAGAATTCACAAATTGTGGTATTTGACACATTTATGGTGTCCCAAGCTGCCATAGTTAGGACTGTTTTCTATGTTTTTCACAGAACTCTTTGCTCTTCGTGTCACTGAAGTTAGGTCTCAAAGGTTTTCTATGTTGTGGAGCAACCCTGTTGTACTACAGGGGTATCCAATCCTTGTCCTGGAGGGCCGGTATCCAGCACATTTCAGTTTTAACTCTGTTTCAGCTCACCTGATTTTAATCAGCAGGTATTTAAGAGGCTTCTGCAGATCCTAATGAGCAGCTGCACAGGTGATTCAACCACTGAATCAAGTGTGTTGGAGCAAAAAAATAACGCTAGAACGTGCTGGATACCCATCCTCCAGGTCTGAAATTGTATACCCCCATCGAGCACCTTGGTAGCTGCTCTCGTGATCTGCCGGTATCTGTTTTTGTTCTACATGTCTGTGTGTGTAACTTTGGTCTCCGTCTACCGCGGAGACAAATGTCTATGCTTCAGGACGCTGGGGCATTGACAATAAAGTTGATTCTGATTCTGTACACCTAACCCTTCTCACCTGCTAGTGGTGGTAGGAGGAACCGGTGGCGCCTGCGCTCGGCAGCTTCGCCTTTGTCAGTGCGCCCCGGGGCAGCTGTGGCTACATTCACCATCAGTGTGTGAATGGGTGAAGGATGCACTGTAGTGTAAAGCACTTTTGAGTCCTCTGACTCTGAAAGGTGCTATACAGGTGCGGATCATTTGTCATTTACAACATTTGTAAAAAAGCAACAGATAAATACACACTGAGCCTTAGTCCTATATAGGTTCTAGCCCACTCTCCGGCCCAGCTTCATGTGTTTGAAGGTATAGCTTTTGTCTAATTTTTTTTTTGACCAGGCATCTGGCAAAATGAAATGCTTTGCATGTGAGGCGAGAATGAAAATGCTGCCGGCTTTGCATCAACCACAAGTACTTATTACTGCCTCTCCATCTGTAGGACGGCGGGGTGTGTTAGAATGAATTTAGTAGAAAACTGGCATAATGTTTGTGTATTCATTTGTTTGCAGACGCCATTGCAGCCACAGACGAGATGCCTGCAATGTGGAGATGTGCTGGAGTGGTCAGAGGAACACAGGTGCGCTAGTTGATGTAAAATACAATGTGAACATTAATTTGTCGGGATGTATTCGCTACTGTACGTCTAACATGATCAAAATCACGTCTCCAGTGAAAATAGACGCTTGCATTGTCTCACATCAGCACAGGGAACTGGATGCAAACATTTGTGTGTGACTAACCAGTCTCAGCAAACTCTTAGATTAGTTTTTATTTAAATTATTCATGAGACAGTCTTTTCTAAGCTGTGGAACAGAGCATTTTGTATAATGAAAGCCAAGTACTACTGTATATTCTTGGGAGTTAGGACTATGGACAAGCAGCCAAACCACAAAGCAGTCAGGATACTTCTAAAATCCTAACTGTTTGTTTTCTACCTAAATCCTAAGTTAAAACCTATTTACTAATAGTAAGAGATAAAAAAAAATCTTAATGCTCTTCATGAAATGAAATGACAAACAACCGAGAGGTTATAATTAGTGCCAATCATTGCTACCTCTGCTGTTGCCAAGGTTACTTTCCTGTCTGCATCCTACACTGATAGAGAAGGATGATGCATTTCCAGCTACTCCTGTTGTTCAGAAGTTGTCGGGCTATCCCTTTTACCGGCGCTGTCATTTTGAGGACAGAGTTTGTTAAAACATGAGGCTGAAAGTCCTGCCTACTTGTGATGCAATATTTAGCTATTGCCCAATGTTTAGAAAATCTGAACATGCAGAAGAAAGGTGTGAACATCAGGAATCTACAGAAATCAGTTTCATTTTAAGATCAACAGAATGTCCAGAGGTCTCGTTTATAAAACTCTGAGTAGAATCCTCAGTAAAACATAGCTTAACCTAAGCAAAAAACTATGTAAAGAATTACACACACTAATTTTCCAACCTACAACGCACTGCAATGCGCACAGTTGCACAGTTCCTACTTTATAAATCTCACTCTTAGAAATGTGCTCAGGTGATTTTGAATCATCTACCACACCCACTTTCTGGTCAATGCAAAGCACTTTGTAAATATTCTGCACATTGGTTTTTTGGACCTTACATGGACAAGCACCATCATACATAGGCTATTTTCTCAGTCCCTACACACCCAGCAGGTAACTGAGGTCCAGTGACCAAAGCCTACTGGTTGTGAAGCATACCAGACTAAAGACCAAAGGTGACAGATCATTTGCTGCTGTGGTCCCCAGACTCTGGACCTCTCTACCCCTGAGATCAGTGGACTCAGTGGTCTGCTTCAAAAAGCAGCTGAAAACTCACCTGCTTAGGCTGGCTTTGGTGTGACCTTCATCACCCTCTCCTTGTTCCTCTCTTTACTTATTCCACCTTTCCCTGCGATCCACAGATCTTCATCTTTCCTATTCATTTTCTCTCTCTCCCTTTTCTTTCATTATTATTTTTTAATCACAATTTTTATTTTTCACTCAATTTAAACATATTTTTAATAATTTTTGGAAATCGTTTTTATAGTTTAATTTTTGTTGTTTGTTTGTGAAGCGCCTCATGATTTTTATCTTGAGAGGCGCTATAAAAGATAATTTTCTTTCTTTTCTTTCTTATAAATAAGCTGGTTCATTGGTGGCATTTCACGAGTGACCGTGGCAACCAAGGCTGAAATCGAGGTGCTTGTGAGTGAGAGACATGGAAAAAAAAAAAAAAACGTTTTACTGCCTTAGAGCAGCGCTGTTTTGTCACAGCAGTGACTTGTGTGGTGGAGCTGCGGGGCGATCGCAGTGGACATAAAGTTATGATAAATGAAAAAAACTGTAAAAAGAAGCAGTCATATGGAGATAAAAAGCAAGGTGGTAATAATTATTCATGTCATCCAAAACGGCTCCATTATAGTGCTCCGGGATCGCTGAGATCCAAGTGTAACTTTGTATAAAAACATTTCATCTAACCCAAAGTTTCTTTAGCCAGGAAATAAAAACTTTATATAGAGTTTTTTTTTTGTTTCCTGGCAAAGTCATGAAATTCTAAAATGATCTTAAACATCATAAAACAAATGAAAGATGATTATAAATTCAAGCTATTAAAGAAGCAAACACAAAAGATTAAAGCAGTTTTAACAAGCTACAGTTTGATTAACACAAGATGTGCTGTCACGTGTCAAACAATTATTTGATGATTGTAGTTACCATTTTGTGTGTAAACAAGGTTTATACATGAGGTCCCTGTTTATTTAAAGAGGGAGCTGGGCTTAAAATGTGCCCAATAAAGCAACTTGGGATATTTCCTTTGTTCCGGTTAAATCTGCATTTCACTTTTTTGTCTACTTTTATTATATGTTGATTGTCTGCAAGCATGGCTGCTTTTAGGAAAGAGTTGACCTATACATGAATAGCCCAACCACAATGTGTGTGTGTGTGTGTGTTTTCTACAGAAAAGGTAGAGTAAAATAGACTTAGATTGACAACATATTTTTCATTTTCCAGCTAAAAATTGAATAGAGGAAAAAGAAAAAAATCAACTGAGGCCTAGTCCACACGTAGCCGGGTTTTAAAAAAAAAAATGAATATCCGCCCCTCCAAAAACTTGCATCCACACCACCTCGTTTAAAAAAAAACTCTGTCCACACGTACCCGGATAAATACATTGTTAAGGACATGCCAGACCTGTAGGTGGCAGTACTTCCCCCGTTCTTAACCTCGTCCTTTGTCTGTGGTCTTCCGCTATAGGAGCAGTAATTCCGCTTGCAAAAACAAACAAGCAAAAAGCGCTTGGACGATTGATAAAGCGAGCGCAGCTCTGAGGGCATCCATGCTGTCGGCTAGTGTAAACACAGGTCGCACACGTGATGTCAGCATTTTTTTGTCGCGGAAAGTGACGTTGCGGACCTTAAAACTCCGGTTTTGTCTGTCCACACGCAGACACCCAAAACGGAGAAAACGCAGATCTTCACTTTGGCCGGAGTTTTTAAAAAGATCCGTTTTCGTGTGAAAAAACTCTGTTTTCGTGTGGATGACAGGCCAAAACGTAGAAAAATATCTACGTTTTGGCAGATCCCCGGCTACGTGTGGACAGGGCCTGAGACACAAGAGCTTTACAGATATGGGGTAGCACACATTGAGAATATCTCCATTATCACATTATTTGGAGCATATTATGTAACAGCTAGCATGACTTCATCACTCTTTTGAAGACACTATATGGACATGTTTTTAGTTCCTTTAAAATGTTTTGCAACAAAAAAACAAAAAGCAGTAACCTTGACAGATACTAAAGAGTGCTGCAGGTTGCAGGAGAAATGACACCCTGGTATTTTATCTGTAGGAGAGTGAAGCAGGGTCACACAGAGTGCTCTTTGTGGAGCGCTAAAGATGACTTTAGCAATTATCTGTCTCTCATAGCGTCCTCCTTGGCTGTTCGTGCTGCTCAACAGTGGATGAAAGTATAGAGAAAGTAGCTAGAAGCCTGGCCAGGCTGAAGAGAGACGAGAGTCACTGGGCAGATGGAAGAGTGGGTGAGATTGACTTCATTGGCTCTAACAAAACAAAAGGGAAGGTGAGATTAACAACATAAAATATTAACGACATTAACAGTAAAACCAAATAAATGATGGAACATTTCTTTGAATCACCAGGCTGACCTAATGTTTCTCTTCCATATATTCAGTTTATGAGAGTGTGCAGCAACACCGACCCAGTTCTGATTTACAAGATGCTGACAGAGGAATGGGGTCTGTCTCCTCCACATTTGGTGGTGGCATTGGTGGGAGGAGATGAAGTGGCTCAGATGAAGCCCTGGCTCAGGGACACGCTGAGAAAAGGACTCGTGAAAGCTGCACAGAGCACAGGTTCTAATCTAAGGAACAAAACTGGCCTTGGCATTCGACAGCTATGGGACGAATTCTCTGTTGTTTTAAAGAATTACTATCAACAATTGTGAAGGATTATGTATGATGTTTCCGTATTAAACTGATTTTTGATTTTTGTGCTCATGTGTGCACATTTTAACTCTGAGGTGAATTGATCATTCCTGTCTTAGGAGAACCAGCACCTTTGCGTTAATGACCAAGTGGGGCTATTATTTGATTTGCATTACCTACTTAGATAATACTTTGTTAGATGCTCACTTATAGATAATTTCTGCAGAAATGCATGGACTGCACACAGTGCAACTGCTTTTCTGCTCTCCAGGGGCTTGGATTTTGACAAATGGGCTCCGCTTTGGCATCACCAAGCACTTGGGCCAGGCAGTAAGAGATCACTCCTTGGCCAGCACCTCCTCTAAAGTTCGAGTAGTCGCCATTGGCATTGCACCCTGGAACATGATCCACAACCGAGAGGCTCTTCTGGCTGCCAAGGTTTCTATTCACACACAGACGATACTGCAAAGGCTACTGCATCATCTCTAAGCAACATGGATGTGTTTATGCTGTCCTCAGTCTCTCCACATACGTGTATTCATTTGCATAAGGTGGATGAGCCTGCAGCGTACAAACCACAGGACCTGCCCCATGGCTCAGTGTATTCCCTGGACAGCCACCACTCTCACTTTGTGCTTGTGGAGGAGGATCCCAAAAGACCAGGAGCCACCAGTGAAATGAGGGTGAAGCTACTCAAGCACATTTCCCTTCAGCGCACAGGTTATGGAGGTAAAAGCATTCAAGACACGGCTGGGAGCAAGTAACATAGTAGGGATCTTTCATGCAAGTGATAAAGCTGCCACATTTTAATATTACTTGATTAAAAGTTAAACTTCAAAATGAATGTAAAGTGAAGTCAGTTTAATGGTTATATGTAAAAAGTTAAGGAGATAAAGTCTGAAAACGGTAGCTTGTTGAATTATAAATACGTGAAACATTATTTCATCTGGATGTTGTGCATTAAACATGGGGCAGCTTTATATAGGCAAGAAACAATGCTTTAGATTTAATGACCTTTTGAAGGTGCCATGTAAAAAAAAGAAACCTCAACTTTATACAAAGCGTACAAGTCAACTAAAGAAACTTGGAGTATTTCTTGCATTCACCCTTTACATCTGATCATTTTAATTTAAACAATTGTTAACATTTATTTGTAGCTTTCACATGTCTCAAAGGTAACCAATTTCATGTGAATCCAATGGAAAATATGCTATTTTGTGTGTTCTGACTGATCACTAACAATTGCAGCCCAGGGAAACGGAGGGCTTTGGAAAGTGGAATGGAAGTAATAAGGAAAAGAAAATAATTATGGTGCAAAAGCCAATATATGTCAGTAACTCATCTTAGACTGAGAGACCATCTAAAGCATTGACCCTCAACTGGTGGCCTGTGGGCCACATCAGGCCCACCAGACGTTTCCACCCAACCCCCCAACCATTGGGCCCCAATGCCTCCCATTTGGGGAACTTGGGGGACCAGGGAAGGACAGTGTCCTCATACTGCCTTGGTAGGCCAGCCACCTTGACATTAAGGAAAGCCCAGAATGTTGTTAAGAGGCATGAAAAAAATGTTTTAAGCTCATTCGTTTTCCAAATTTGCTCTAGGGTTTAACAGCAAAATTCATGTCTCAGAAATCAATAATTGTTTACATTCTCCAAACACATTTAAACTACAATCAAAACAGTTTAGATTGAAAACAAAGCCATTTTAAATATTAATAAATTAAGATACAATAATACTTGAACTTTATTTTAGAGTATCTAGCCCTCACAATGGGTACTGGAAACATCTCTGGCCCTTGAACAAATTTAGTTGAGGACCCCAGATCTAAAGGCTCAGGGACCCTTTGCAGGTGTTCTGAATTCATTAGCTGATTAGAGGCTGACACTTTGAGTCTAGAATAATAGTGAGGATCCTGATTGTTGAGAGCTTTGTGGGTGAACAACAATATTTTGCACACGGTAGGACACAGAGAGCCAGTGTAGATCAGCCAAAATGGGAGCAATATGGCATTGTCTGTTTTTGTAAGGCATCGTGCAGCGGCATTTTAGACTGTCAGTGGAGGATGCACTTACACCAACAAGGACTGAATTTGCATTGTTGAGTCTTGAGGTGCCAAACACATGAGTAACTAATTCCAAGTGTGGACTCTTGGGTTAAGGGTGTCAAACATCATAGTTGGAAAAAACAGGACGTTACGTTATCTGCGGGATCATTGATAAGTCAGCATCTAGTTTGACCCCGATCTTGGTCACACAGGAGTTGAAAGTTTATGGAGGGGAGAGGAAAGGAATCAGATGTGTGCGGGTTACTTTTTTTAGGATTAAAGAGAATGGCCTCAGTCTTATCGTCATTAAGCCGATAAAATAGGAAGTAATCCCAAAACAAATAAAATTTTGCAGCATTTCGCACTAATTTCTCGAGTTTCTCCTGTATTTATACTAATTCAGGTTTAACTGAAGGTAGGTTGAGTAAAAAAAATGTCGACCACATATTGTAGTCCTATAAACAACACACAACACAATCAAAAATCAATGAAGTGCAATTTTATGCAACGCTGCATACATTGTTCCAGTTTTAAATGATCAGACTTGACAGGATGTTAGAATTTAGACTCATTCATTCTCATTTTACTCATTTCATAATGTATTTATTCATAACCAGAAAGCTTGACCGCCATCCAACTAATAGGTTGAGTAAAGAATAGCAAAAGTCTGAGATGCGATTCCTCATTCTTGCAGGAGCAGGAAGTTTTGAGATCCCTGTTCTGTGTCTCCTGGTCCATGGGGAACCGAAAATCCTGAAGGTAACTTCATTAACTTTGCAAAGACTTTATAGAACTTAAAGGCCGAATTGTCATTGAATAGACGACCCATTATCGAGGTTTTTAGTATTGTTTGTAGAAAAATTGTAGAATTGGAGCAATTTTGGTCAAGTTTTGAAAATATTCCTGCAATTTTATTCAAGATTGTGCTTGAAAGCTGTTAGTTCTCACAGTATGCTTAAAAGTATCCTGAGCTACTACAACACAAAATGTCAGCTCAGTATCTGAAAAATCATAGATATATTTGAGTTTTTGTGTTTACTCATTTTCATTTAGTGTGAAGCCATCATGAATTGGGTTAAAGCTGCTATAGCGAATCTACAGAACACGCTAACATGGTCACAAAACCCCCACCCCTCCCCTCGGGTATCTTCCGTGAGACGCGTCTGCTGGAACCTAAACCCGCATTACCAGACGAAACGAGATACCTCTAAACACCAGTTGCAGTTGTCTAGTTCCAAACATCTATCGTTGTCTATTACTTCAAATGGTGTTTTTCTTTTTGGGACTCAGGTAGTTAATGTCCTAAAGATGAAGTGGTAGCAGAGAATGGAGAACCTCTCACACCAGTGGAGTTCATGTGTCCAAGTGTGGCGGTTCAGAGAGACCAACAACCGGATGGTCTAATAGTTGCTTTCGGTCCGAAACGAGTTAATGGCGGAGGTTTTTAAATGCAAGACAACCACTTTATCCGTTTTCTTTTTTCTAATCTCCACAACATATTTATAGCTATACTTTGTGTTTCTCAATGTCAAGGAACCTCACCTTGATACGTTTGTCTTGCCCTGGTTGCCTAGGAGAAACATCATCAGGAACCAGCATGGCGTGTTCCAATGTTCATGTGCTATTGAGGCATCCGTCCTCTGTTTGTTAGCCATTTAGCTAACTGACCAAGGATACACGGGAGGTGTCTTGTTGCTTTGACTCGGTCAAAAATTTCCCAGAATATCATGGTATTTTCAAAAGTATGACTGATTAGTAACCAGAAGCTACTCGTTATACATTTATTTTGAAACTTATACGTATAAAATATAACTTTACCTCAAGGGTCATGTGACATGATGTGACGTAAGTCTGTTCCATTTAACCATTTTCATCATAATCCTTGGTAGACCAGGCACCTTAACATTGAGCAACACCCAGAATGTTGCTAAGAAGCATGAAAAAAATGTTTTACGCTAATTTGTTTTCCAAATTTGCTATAGAGAGCCAAAGTCTCCTCCCCCTTCATGGGTCCCAGGAAGAATGAAAAAAGAAATGAGTGAAAGTCAACGGGGCTAAATGAGCTATTTTCTAATCCGCTTTGCGTTACGGCTTGGATCACACATATGTTGTACTTCTATTGATGATTCTAATGAAAAGTAATGATGTGTGTTTTGACCACATCAGTCACATACATTGAGATTTATTAACCTATAAAAACTTGTAATCAGCATGACTGCAAATCAGATATCACCACATAATCTCCTCTCCTCCAGTGTAGCTGCTACTAACCTCATGACCAGATTTATTGTGGTTCTTGCCTCCTGAGGGAAGGATTCATAGTTCGCTAAACTAAAGCCATTTTCCCTCTGCTCTTCTCCATGTCTGGTTCAATGGTGCCAATTTGGTGATGCACATTTGTAGTCATGGATGTTTTTCACACACAACCTAAAATAACTTTTACCCCCATTCCAAAATAAGCACATACTTGGCATCAGAATGTGTGTTTAAAAATCACGAACATCATATGTGAAATCCTGCCATAACAATTAGAAAATTGCGTATTTAGCTCCATTGACTTGCTTTTATTTTTTTTGTTCCTCTGGGAACCCATGGTACGGAAGTACATAGGTGTGACTTAGGCACCCTATTGAAGCTTTGACTCCAAAAGTTAATACTTTTCAGATGGGCATGCAAAGAAAAGCTGCCTTTTGGGTTATGTGATATTTTTCTAACAGTCAAAAAAGAAAAAAACATGTGCACACTCAGAAACTCAGACATCTTTGAGTAGCATACAATAACCCGAGAAAGACTCACAGAAAGCCTTTTTTATTCAGACATCCAATATGTGACTCATCATATTGCTCATACTTGAAAATCATTCTTGAAATCTGATCGTGTCCTAAAGCACCAGGCAAACATAAACTGGGAGCAAGCATTCAATCGCAATATCTTCCAGTTAATAAAAATAAACTGACCAAGTCCACAATTTATTTGCCCTTATAAGATATAAAAAGCTAAAGCATTAACTGATCAGTCTGGTAGTTAAAAGACTCATTTCTTGCTACAGAGAATGTATAAGGGGATTGGAAACTTCACTCCGTGGCTGATTCTGGCCGGCTCTGGGGGCGTGGCGGACATCCTCGTCACACTGATGGAGAGAGGCTGCTGGGATGCAGACAGCGTTCATGAGCTGCTGCTGGACACCTTTCCCAATGCCCACCATGGCTCAGACATCAGTAACTGGGTCAAGCTGGTGAGAGCCACATGCACAGCAGGAAGCCAGACACATACAAACACGTGCACTTGTCAAGAGGAAGAAAAAGTGGGGCACACTGGGGAAGCTAGTGAGATGAGCTAATGTGGCTTTCACCTGTTTTATAACCATTTGCATATGATTTGTATGTTATTAAGGATGAAGGTGAAATTCAAGGTGGTGTACAATAAATGTTTAGTAGAAAACTACAGATGACGAGAAATACACGTTACCATCTGCTCTACAGATCCAGAAGATACTTGATCATGGACACCTCCTCACCGTCCATGACCCTGAACAGGAAACATCTGAGCTGGATACTGTCATTCTCAAAGCTCTCGTCAAGGGTAAAAAGCACTTTAAGACACCCGGTTCCCTGCAGTTGTACTACAGGGAGTTTCCTGATTTGTCAGAGCTGTGATATTTTTAGCCCTTCATACGTTTTTCACTTGTTGAAATTGTGTGTGTTGATCAGCGTGTAAAAGCCAAAGTCAGGATGCTCAAGACTTCCTTGATGAATTGAAGCTGGCAGTGGCATGGAACAGAGTGGACATAGCCAAGAGTGACATCTTTAATGGAGATGTGGAGTGGAAGGTGAACAAATACTTAGCAGCTGGACACATTCTGTCTGTTCTCATCTAGTAGAGCACTCTTTTAAGGTAGATTAATAATGTGTGGACAGGAAACACAGAGTTTTACTTAGAATAACAGGAGCTACACTCGTCATGGAAGTCAACTTCACTGAAAAACATTTTTTTATTATTATTTCTGATTATAATCAGTCGCTCTGAGTTTTTGATGCCGCCTGAACAGAAAAAAGTCTCCTACACCTATCTCCTGCAACAGATAGAAAAAAATGGGAAAACGCTCTGATTAGCAAACTCTGACAAATCTACACCACACTGAAAATCTGCATCATGGTTTCACCCATCTTGGCTTGTGACGATGAAGGCTGTTGTTGGTTTAGCGTCCAGGAAGCAACAGAGAATGTCTTGAGTAGTAGAAGCTAACCGTTAGCATTAGCAGCTCCACCACGTAGCTGAACTCCTCCAGTCTTGTGTTATTTGTGGAGATAAAACATCAACGTTGCAAAACAAACAGAGTCAATGTTTTGTTGCTGTTAGCCAATCAGAAGTGAGATGTCCAAATATCAGGAAGTAAGAGTCCAAATCCTGCCGTCTGAAGCTATGTTCTCTTCCAGCTTTTTCTCCAGAGAACAACTTATGCTGCATTCATTACTATAGAGACAACTGCAAATGTATTAAAATATGAGTAAAGTTAACCTTTAAGCTGCATTATGTACCAGACTGTATCTATAAACCTGTACACCAGTTCAAATGTAATTCATGTATGAATGATTTTTATGAAATCCCACAATTTTCACAGGCAAGTGACCTTGAAGAAGTGATGATGGATGCTCTCATCAATGACAAACCTGACTTTGTGCGCCTGTTTGTGGACAATGGCGTGAACCTGGGCGAGTTCCTTACCTACGGTCGTCTACAGGATCTTTACTGGTCCGTGTCAGAGAAGAGCCTCCTTCACAACCTGCTGCTTAAGAGGTTTGAGGAGAAGCAGATCCTGCTCAGTGCAACCAGGACACCTGGCCCACCTGGTCACCACCTTCCTGAGCAGGCAAAACCTCGCTTCACGCTTTTCGAAGTTGCCAAAGTGCTGAAGGACTTTCTCCATGACTCGTGTAAAGGCTTCTACCAAAAGAGTCCAACAGTGAGTTATATTTACTAACTTATGAGTCAAATCAAATGGAAAATAAAGACTTTCAGTTAAAATGTATCTCACAGAGGTCCTACTGCTGTTGACAAATAACAATCATTAATACGGCAGATCAAAAAATGTTTGCAAGAATTCTCTGGTTTCAGAGCCATGACCAATTCCTCCAAAATGCATTCAGAGACATCTAAAACCCATCTCATCACCAGTCAGAAAGTACAAAATATGCAAGAAAACTTTGGGAGGGGTTGCCGACCAAACTGCATTTAGAATAGGAGTCAACTGTGACTGTAAATTAGGACGAGAAAATGTGCTCCATGTAAGAAGGAAAGAAAATGATCTTTTATCCAGCGCTTCTCAAGGTAAAAATCCCGAGGCGCTTCACAAGAGTAAAAAAGTTAATATGAAAAAGATTTTATAAAACAATTTTTTAAATATCATTAAAATGAGAAATTAAATTGTGATTAAAAATGTAAGAAAAGAGAAAATGAATAGGAACAAGAGAAATCAGTGGGTCCCAGGAAAGGTGGGGTTGGTAGAAAGAGCAGAATAAGGGGAGGGTAGTGATGAAGGCCACACATTTGTCATGGTCTGCGTCTCCCTCATGTGTCTCCTTGTGTTCTCCATCCCTCTCTAGGTTCTCCTTATGTGTCTCCTAGCGTCCTCATGTGTCCTTGTCTGCATCTTCCTCATGTGTCCCCTGATCTGCAGCCCCTCTAGGTTTTCCCCCTCCCCAGGTATCCCCCCAGGTCCGTTGCTCCCGTGGTCTCCCTTAGTCACACCTCTGTAGTTTTTCTTTCTGTAGTTTTTTTTCCTATAGGTTCAGCTTTTCATTTATTAGTCTGTTTTTAGGGTGTTTCTTTCTCCACTGGATTTTTAGTTCTCCTCAGATCATTAGTTGTTTATATTAATCTTCTTGTCTTCAGGTTTTGTTTTTACTCTTAGGTCAAGTTATTTTCCCCTCCACAGCTCACTCTCCCCTCACTGATTAGTTAATTGATTTCGCTAGGTTTCTCTCCCCACACACCTGCAGCTCATCTCCCTCTCATCCTGCCCCAGTGTATTTAACCCTGTCTGCTGTTGGTTCATTGTTTGTGTCAACCTCGTCTGTCCCCCTCTCTAGCTGTTAGTATCTCTAGGTCTCTCGTGTTTTAGGGTTCTCCAGGTTTAGTTATTAGGATTTTTGGATTTTGTTTTTTGGTGTCCTGCATTCTCTGGATTTACTCCTTAATAAAGGATTTTTACATTTTTCCACTTCCTGCCTCGTTATTCTGGTTCTGCATCTTGGGTCCTAACCTCTCTCCAAAACCACCTCGTGACAACATTAGCCAGCTTGAACAATTCAGTAATTCCAACTGTGGGTTCAATAATTTTACAAGAAGTTTAGCATCTCAACTGGGTGCTAACAGCTCACTGAGATGCAAACCTAAGGTCTAATATGTCGGTTCTTGCAGATATTTGTCATCCTTTCACTAACTTTTCACTGTTCATCTATGACAGTAACCCACAGTTTGTATTTGCCATATGAATTTATCAGTAGTTTTCACTTCTAACAAGCTCAGACTTTGCCTGAAACTGTTAAAAGTGTCTCACATGACAATAAGAATGAAGGAGTTGAAATATAGATAGACTTGTCTCCTACAATAGAGCTATTATGCAATGGAGACCGCTTGGGTGAGTTGTTTAGTGTTCATTTATGGTAAAAAATTAAGCCTTTCATTCATCATAAAATAGCTTTCTTCAACAGATATCTAAATGTGCTTCCATTCGGCGTCCGCTCCATGTTATGTCCCATGATGTCTTTGGTTTTTGATGAAAACTAGGTATTGATCTGAAAGAACACACCTATTATTCATTTTGGAATCAGATGAAATATGCTTTAATCCAGATGACAGGCAATCAAACATGATAAAGACCTCCTTGGCAGTGGCAGCAATTGATTTTGCAGTAATGCCTGCAATAAATTCTGACTCATGTAGGCATTGAATGTTGCGTAAACAGTGTGCAGCTGGCCCCATTTACTACATGTTTAATACATTCAGTGTACGCTCTGTGCTCTTCAGGACAAGCCACCAAAGGGTCGACTGTTCCACAGCCAGAAGAACCTGCCTGAGATGGAGGACCGCTGTGAGCATCCTTGGCGGGATCTTTTCCTCTGGGCCGTCCTTCAGAACCGACAGCAGATGGCTAACTACTTTTGGGCCATGGTCAGTCTTGTCAGCGTCTTTGCTCAGTTCAGCTCCAGCTTGTACTAAATCAGCACTGTGCAGTTCAGTCGGTGGCAGCTTAAATATGCCTGGCACTGGAATAATCTGCTCGGACCAGACTGAATTGAGCTGTGGATTAGACACAGACAGCATTACTTCAAATGGAGAGCGGCACACGTGATGTGGGCCAGCAGAATGCAGGTGTAGGTCAGTGGTACCATACCAAAATGTCATCCACATAAAAGAGCCATAGGTGAACTAAAAAGCAATCTTATCTCAAAGAACATTATTGAAATGAAGGTCATGCTGCTTGCTGAGGCAGCCAGGCTGTGTCGAGGCTGGGTCTCTATGTCTGCAGTTGACGTTAATGAGAAACACATACTGACATTAGACTTGTGATCTATGAACATTTCTAATGACATCAGTCGATGCTGTTTTCAGTGTCTTTCATGGGTACCTTTTGTTTGTTTGCCACCCTTTCTTTGAACTAGAGCATCCAATTATCCTAATCTCCTTCTGGTGTGCTCCTTCTTTTGCATCTATTTCAAACATTGTCAGAAATTCTGGTAATTGCATATGGCGTGCACTCAACCCAACTGCAAATCATTTTGCCACTCACATTGTGGCCTGGAAAGCAGCATTCATAATTTGATTTTTTTGAAGCATCTCTCAGGCTGAAAGCCTCATCACGGCTATTCTAGTAAGCCAACTTATGCTTGAAATTTTTCACATACTGAGTAGGTCGTCTATATATGCACTTACCGTCCACACCCGCTTAGCTGTTTATTAAGCCTATCAGCCAGTTGCAGGGTTGAAGGTCAGACTGAACATCAGAATGAGGACAAAAGAGGATTTAAGGGACTTTGATGATTATTGTTGTCAGACGAACTGGTCTGAATATTTTAGAAGCTGCTGGGAGTTTTACCAACAACCATCTTAGAGGAATTAATAAAAAGAAACATTCAGCGAGCAGAAGTGATGTGGACTTGTTAATAATAACAAAAGAACAAGAGTGCACAGGCTGTTCTGAAGGCAAAACAAGGCCCAAGCCGGTCCTAGTAAAGTCTTCCTTACTACAGATCAGTGAGAAAGTATGTATGATAAATGATCCTCACTTCTATAGCGCCTCTCAGAGTAAGGACTCCAAAGTGCTTTACACTACAGTGTATCATTCATCCATTCACACACACTTTTACACACTGACGATGATGAGCTACGATGTAGCCACAGCTGCCCTGGGGTGCACTGACAGAGGCAATGCTGCCGAGCACAGGTGCCACTGGTCCCTTTGACCACCACCGGCAGGCAAGCTGGGATAATTGTCTTGCCCAAGGACACAACAGCAGAATTCTCTGTCCGCAGCCGGGATTGAACCTGCAACCTTCCGATTACTGGACAACCCGCTCAACCTGTTGAGCTACTGCTGCCCCTGTTTAATCACAGGAGTCAAATTATGGAATATGATGAAGACAGATCACAGCACATTCAAATTAAATAAGCATGAGGTCCCTAGTGTTATGTAACACAGAGACACACTTGTGCCAGTTGTGCTGCAGCCGTAGCATGACAAGTACTTCATCTCATCTGGTGATGAACAAACATGACATCTTATTCTACAAATGCACACAAAAAGAATGATTTAATTCACATGTTCCCGTGAGCAAAATCCTTTCTGTCTTGTGGGGAAAAAAGCAATCAGATGTTAAAACCTTAGTTTTCATTAAATAGTTGGTTTCGAGGGAAATATGTCCTTTAAATCTTAGTTCTGAGAAACATGTGAAAGGACAAATAATTCTTTTAGCAAGACATTCATAAAAAAAATCAAAAGGCTTCTTGGAAAACATTGTGCAAAAGGAAGAGAAAGATGCCATTTGTACAAGATGACCATGTTTAATAATCCTCAGATGATCCTCTGAAGGCCAAAAGTGACATAAAATCAGGAATAATCACATTATACAGGTGGGGCAATATGCATCACCTTGGGACACAGGGAAATTACACTTTGTGAGGAAATCACACCACTGATTAACACCCTGTGCACCAGTGTGAAAAAGTCAGGTCATTGCTGCTGCTGGTGAGGACTTCTAACAGCTGCAGCTTAGCCACAGTCTCTCTGGCTTCCATCTCTCTCCACGAGGAAGAACAAAAGCATGTTTATCAAAAGGTCCAATTCAAAAAGATCACATGTTTTTGAGTAACTGTTTTCTTTTAAGGACCATTGTAAGCTGTTATGAGTCCAGTCAGTCATTAAAGACATGACATTACACTGAAAAAAGACTTACTTACATGTAAATTCTCCATGTAATTAAATTACATAGTCAATGAATAGATTCACCTTCAATGTAAACTTTGTATGTTTGCGTTTAAATAATTTAACAAATAACGGTTGTGATTTTATAAATGTTAGTTAAATCTTACATACACAATTTAGTTGGTCATTACTGGGGCCAATAATCTTTATTTATGTATGCAATGTCTTTCTGTGAAAAAGGTTAAGATCTAATTTTCTTACAGATACACAGGGAAAAATGGAAAAGTAAAGATAATTTCTGACTGGTTAGTTGAAGTGGTTGCTAATATCAACTGCTTTAGTGAATGCTGCTGTTGAGTCCTTGGGCAAGACACTTAACGCGCCTTGCCTGCTGGTGGTCATAGGGACCGGTGGCACCAGTTTACGGCGGGCCTCTTCTCTGTCAGTGCACTCCAGGGCAGCTATGGCTACATCGTACATCATAGCTCAGAAATGTTGCGTCGGATGATATTTTTTATTTTTTACACAATAGAAAGGGGTTCAGGTCAGAAAAATTTGTTGAGGAAATTCCAGCTATTTTCTTACTGGGTAGAATTTTTAACAATGCAAATGTCAGAAATTAACATTAGCAATGTGGAATTAGTTTGGTCAGAATTGTGTCTCCCCACCTTTAAAGTTACAGTGTGTATTTTTCCTGGCGATAGGGGGCAGTAGATACCTAAATCGTTGCAAGCAAGCAGCAATTTTGGGTTGGAGTAAGACCTTACCAATGGATACCTATTAGGGTCAAAAAGCACCGGGGAGTGCAAACTTTAGTGAAATAACAAGCACATCAGACTCCCTTTCATCACTGTTAACAAATGAAGAGGTAAATGTGGAAAACCAACATTTAGCAATGGCAAAAGTTTTGTAACCATTTGTTACAAATCAGTAAATGCATTTTGTCCTCATGGGCTCCTGTAGAAGGAAACATGGCATCTAATATGGCGTCGCCCAGAGACTTAGGGTGTTCCTCAATTTCAAGGAACCTTGCCTTGATGTCTTGGCCATGCCCCGGTTGCCTAGGAGATACGTCATCAGGAGCCGCCAAGACGTGTTCCAGTCGGTTCCCATGTTCATGTTCTACCGAGGCGTGTGTTCTCCGTTTTTTAGCCGTTTAGCTAGCTGAGCAAGGATACATGGCAGGTGTCTTGTAGCCTAGCCTTGGCCAAAAATTACCCACAATATGCCGTGGTATTTTCAAAAGGACGGCGGATCAGAAACCGGCAGCTACTTCAGGGACAATTTTCAAGTTTAAAAGTAAGTCAACTCATTTAAAATGTTTTTTTTTAGATCCAAAGAAGTTATCTATTGTTGGTGAGTTGCTTATTAGTTGCAGCTTTGGTGGCTAGCGGGTAGTCACTCGCTTATATTTTTAATTTAATAAACATATACACAATCATTATTGACTTCCGAAGGAGTAAGGATGCCCCCCGCCCTCTCTGCAGTAAAGGAGCTGAGGTGGAGAGAGTTCCCTCCTTTAAGTTTCTCGAGATTTACATCTCTGAGGATCTGTCATGGACAATCAATACCACTGCCTTGGTCCAAAAAGCACAACAGCGGCTGCACTTCCTGAGGGCCCTGAAGTGAAACAGGCTGCAGACCAACCTCTTGGTGTCTTTTCATCGAGCAATCATTGAGAACGTGATGACTTACGCTATCCCTGTGTGGTACACGGGGTGCAAAGTAGCTGATAAAAACAGATACCAGAGGGTCATCAGAGCGGCGGAAAAGGTGATTGGATGCACCCTTCCCTCCTTGGACACTATCGCCTTGCAGAGGTGTCTCACTAGAGCAAGGACCATCTCCAGGGACATTTTTTGCCATGCTGCCCTCTGGGAAAAGGTTCAGATCCCTCAGCTGCAGGACCGACAGACTGAGGAAGAGTTTCTTTCCCTGGGCTGTTAGAACCCTGAATGGACAGAAAAATCAACTATATTGATACTATTTATTGTATTTTGTAATGTTTTTGTTTTTATTGCATGGTGCATATTGTACTTGTTTTAGCTATTTTTCTTAGTATTTTTAGCGGATGCCTAATGTGAAGCTCTAGGAAATTTCGTTGAATGGACAATCATTTAATGACAATAAAGGATATCTATCTATCTATCTACAATTTAAAAGTAAAAGGCTCGTTATATATTTATATTGAAACTAATACGTATAAAATATAACATTATCTCTCGTGTCACGTGACATTATGTGACCGCCATGGAAGTCGCGGTCACGTGATGCAAATCCGTTCCATTTAACCGTTTTCTTTGACCAAGGAAGGACAGTGTCCTCGTAAGCAAGGCGCCTGGCCTCGCAAGACATCGCCTCGCAAGGCCAGGCGCCTTGACATTGAGAAACACCCTTAGACCCGCTCCCATGTATTTTAGACCTGATTTTTATGGTTATGTGTTACAAATCCACCAATATTTTTCCACAACTGAGCACCATTTCATTCATTTTCAACAACATTTTGATGGATATTTCCAGAAATTAATGGTAAAAACTATACATTGTCTCTTTTAGGAGCTACTTTCAACAGGTAGCATGCTAACTCATCTTAAAGGTTCTGCAGAAAACCTACTTCAGAAGATGTAAACGTAAAGGTTCGGTATAGTGAAGAGAAGAAACTGTAAGCCCTTTGGCCTCTACTTTAGGAGGCACCAAAAAGTCATGTAAAGAACACACATTTCTACAACATAAAGGATCCATTCAAGCACCTGTTTGTGCAATTTCACAGAACAATTGTAGCCGATGCACTCATTACAGTGATTAAGATGCAAACGACGAAGCCCTCCAAAATTCTAGACTAGTCTTCCAGAATCATTTGTGGATACAGCTTTCCTCTAATCCGTCAGGGCCCTGAGGCGGTTGCGGCAGCGCTGGCAGGTTGTAAGATTCTGAAAGAGATGGCACGCCTGGAATCTGAGGCTGAGTCTGCACGCAGTATGAAGGAGGCCAAGTATGAGCAGTTTGCCCTTGGTGAGTACATAAACTGTGCTATGATAAAAGCTGACAATGTGGTTATAGAAACCAAAGGTCAAGTGTACCCTCAGCCACCTCAAAACAACAAAACCCCAAATAAATGCAAACAATCTCTTTGGGAGGAAGTCAAACATGAATCTGAAAGTAGAAAATCTTTAAATCTGATGAAATGAAGTGCTCGGTGCCGTGTGCTGACTGTTCTCTCTGTGTCAGATGTCTTTAGCGAATGTTACTCTAACAGTGAAGACAGGGCGTATGCCTTGTTAGTGAGGAGAACTCACTGCTGGAGCAAATCTACGGTTCTCAACTTGGCAACTGAGGCAGATGCTAAATCCTTCTTTGCCCACGATGGAGTTCAGGTACATGTGCTTGTTTAAAACTCTAAAATGTTGTAAAACATCAAAATTTGGTGATGCTGGCAAATATATTAGGGTTATTTTGACCTTTTTCTTTACTGAAGAACTTTACAGCTATTAAAAATGTTCCCAGTGCAATGTTGGCCATTAGACACCTCATTTCTTTCTAAATATCCCTCCAAGAGATGTCCTTGTCATTAGAATGCCATCAGTGAGAGTTAATTGGTATTCAGAGTCAGGAGGGAAAGTTAGCACACAGCAAATAATATATTTTATTTGAAGCACGCAGTTGGAATAACAACATTCTCTGAATCAGGATTCAGTACATGCTTGTTATTTGAAGAGAACTTGAGACTTCACAGCTCTAGGGTGGAAGAGCCCATGGCTAAGCATCAGGTGCCTTTCACACAAGAAGCCCTGAGTCAATCTGCAGCCAGCTGCTGAGGTTAACAAACGCTTCATGAAACTGAGGGGGAAACGGTTTTCTTTGTTATATAACTCATCATATGTGTCTTCTGAGAATAAACTCCCAAGACTGTAAAGGTGGAAACATTCTTAGACCTGCAGTGCCTCCTTGTGGTGAATTTACAGCCACAAATAAACCTCCCCTCAGGTATGAAACAAGATCAGACAAAAGTCAATTCTCTTCACAGGCTCTCCTCACAAAGATCTGGTGGGGTGCTATGACAACAGACACAGGCATCTCCAAACTTGTAGTGTCCTTTTTCTGTCCTCCACTCATCTGGACCAACCTCATAAAGTTCAGGTGATGGATTCTGCTCTTGATAAAATAGATCGGAGTCATGTAGACGTGCTGAATGTCTGTTTGCACTGACACTCTCTTTATTTGTCTTAGTGATGAAGAACTGGATAGTCGTGAAGGCAACAAGCAATTCGCGGAGCTGGACAGTCTGGAAACAGAAAAGGCGTTACTGCTGACGGATGATGATGACCCTTTGTGAGTTTATATAAGTTAAAGCTAATTTCTTTAAAGAACAAGTTAGCTGAAAAACCTATTTTTTTCAGATAATCAGCCACTGAGTTTCACATGCAGGTGAAACGAGAAAATAGTCCTTGACCCCTATTTCCTACATTAGACAGAAAATAGACGGGGACACTCTCGGATTAGAAAAGCCAGACAGATCTATGTCACATTGAAAATTAGCATTAATGGCCTCACCCATTTTGGCTCACATAGAAGAGTCTGTTTAAACATCTTTGGTATGTTCTTGCTGTGTCTGGTTTCTAACTGAATTTTTGGTTATTTTTAAAACACCTAAAAGGGGTTGTTTTTTTTTTACCTTGCTGACAGTTTCGTTTGCAAACAAAACTGTCAGCAAGGTAAACAACAACAACTTTTCTGTGTTTTAAAAAGAACCAAAAATGCAGTTAGAAGAGTCTGCTGTTGGTTTAGCATCCAGGAAACAGCAGAGTGAGTATCAGCTGTGTAGAAGCTAACCACTAGCATTAGCAGCTCCACCACAAGGCAGAACTCCCCCAAGCTTGTGTTATTTGCGAAGATAAAACATCCGTTGCAAAGCAAACACAGTCAGTGGTACAGTCGTGTTTTTGTTAGCCAATCAGGGGCAAGATGTCGGAATATTAGAAAGAAAGACTCCAAAACCTGCTGTCTTCTGCTCACCTCTGCTCTCTCTGGCTCACTTCTACTTCCTGAAACAGGAGCGCCAGAGCTTCTTTCCCACAAATATCGACTCACAAGGCATTCATTTGTACTAGAGACCACTGCAGATGAGTTGAGTAAACAAGTGAACCTGGTTTTAACTCAAAAAGCTAGAAATGGAAAGTTTTAATTTAATTGTAAGTTACATTTTATTTAATATTTTTTAATGTTTGATCTGGCCCAACACAACAGAGAAGCCAAATAGGAGTTATTGATAGAACTATTTTTCATTTGACTTCAGAAAGTAATGTATTGATATGAAGGTCAAGGGTATGGTGTCAAGCCAGATACTTACTTATAGGAACTGTAGCATCCAAGGGTGAGATATTGAGGCGACATGGTCACAGGCACATTTAAAACCAAGAGTTTAGTTTTGTTTGTGTTTAAAAGGAGATTGAAGAAAGCATGCAGGAGACTGTTCAAGCTTTGTTGCAAGAAAGTACCTCCAGCAATCATTTTCTGAGATTTTTGTTTAAATCCATTCTGTGGTGCAAGAAATGGACAGTTGTTCTTTGATAAAACAAGTGCTGATTATTAGTATGTTGTACTTTTTTCTATTCTTAATTTCCAGGGACTCTTCGCCCAAAGACCCAGAAGGTCAGAGTTGTGCCACTGTCTGGTGGCGCTTCTTGCTCCGTCGCTGGCGTCGCTTCTGGAGCGCTCCAGTCACCGTGTTCCTTGGTAACGTCATCATGTACTTCGCCTTCCTCTGCCTCTTCACCTATGTGCTCCTGTTAGACTTCCGCCAACCACCGCCTGCTGGCCCTGGAGCTCCAGAGATAATGCTCTACTTTTGGGTCTTTACCTTGGTGCTGGAGGAACTTCGGCAGGTAAACGTCTGTCTCACAAAAGTCCGTATAATTTTTTCAAACACATTTTATGTTTTCTAATTATTGTTTTATGGTGCTTTTGTGATGATTACATGTATATGCAGGCAGTTTTAGGGAAGAGACAGCATTTTTATGGGACGTGCTATGGCTTGCAGGCCTTACAAGTCGGACACATCTGAGCAGGCAATGATGGGATTCACTTGAGTGAACTCGTTCTCTCCAGGGATTTAACGATTCCTGAGCTTCTCACCCTCAGCATTACTCGCTCCCTTGTGAGCTGGGTCAAACAAGCATGGTCCCTTCTTGCAGTGATCCAGTTGAGCTTTCATCCCCTGGGGCTCAGAGGACCCATATGAGACAGGCCTTCACTGCTGCTCCTTCTTCTTTCTATTTCAATCTGCTGCAGCCCAAGTGTTAGGCCCAATATCCAGACAGACTTTTCATGCGGAGGCCAACAGACCTCTATGCCTCTACCTTTCTATCAGTTCATCTTTGTGTGCATCCATCTCTCATGTTCAGGAAGCATCCTGCCGCCCTCAGCTTGTTGGCAAGCAGACAGCACCATTAGGGGAATAAGCACTGGTTTCTTGATGCACTTATGGCCTTTTCAAGCCACAGTGGACATCACCACTTTAGATTCTTTTCACAACAGACTTTTCACAGAGCTGAGAATGTGGGGCTTTGCGAGGGCCTCTACAGCAGCAGGGCAGTAGCAGCTAATTCCCTATTGACCGCTGCAGGTGTGTCTGAAAAGGGCTCGAGCAAAATCCAGTGTGACCTCACAGTGGGCACATAAAAATAGATGTTTTTTAATTAGAGTTATTAAGTTATGTTATCAGAACTTTTTGTATGATTCAGAGTTTCTTCACCGATGAAGAAATGAACATCCTGAAGAAGTTTAAACTTTATGTAGAGGACAACTGGAACAAGTGTGACATGGTGGCCATCTCTCTCTTTGTTGTTGGGGTTTCATGCAGGTAAGTTACTGAATGACAATGAAACTCAACAATATTGCATGTAATTGTGTAGACATGGGGCACAGATTGTAAATTGGTACGTTTTTTTTTAAAGAACAATTGTGTTAAATCACAAGTTCCAACAAACTCCATTTGTATTATTGTGAGGTGCTACATATCTACATACCCCTTCAAGTGGCAAAAATGCCTAAATGTGATGAAATACTTGCCATTCTGCACCCCAAAGCGCTTCTCACCATCAATTCTTGTTATGATGGTTTGGATCATTTATTAAATAAATAAAAGTGTACATTTCTAAATACCAACTAAAACAAAACCAATACATTAATCAATTTCATTTAAATTAAATTAAATAAACACAATTTTGTATAATTGGATTTGTTGGATTTTTCTATATTCGATACCCTAAAATGACACAGTTGGTGCAAAGTAAATAAACTTAATGAAGTTCAACTAAATGTTACAAATACACACACGCTTACACAAATGGCATTTTGTTTTGCAGAATGGTGGAAGACACCTACGAGGCAGGACGGACGGTTCTAGCAATAGATTTCATGGTATTTACTCTACGTCTGATCCACATCTTTGCCATCCATAAGCAGCTGGGCCCGAAGATCATTATCGTGGAAAGAATGGTGACCTAATATTTCTTTGAGGACATTTTAATTCTGCAGACTATAAGCCATACATAAATAATTGAACTAGCAGTTAAGGCATATAAATGACTCTGTCTTGCAGATGAAGGATGTTTTCTTCTTCCTCTTCTTCCTGAGTGTGTGGCTCATTGCCTACGGAGTTGCCACCCAAGCTCTTCTCCATCCCAATGACCCAAGAATTGACTGGGTGTTTCGCAGAGCCTTGTACCGCCCTTATTTGCACATTTTTGGCCAAATCCCCTTAGAGGAAATAGACGGTAAACCACAGCAAATAGTTTAATGATGCAAAGTCCATATTAAAATTATTTTAATTAAATGTTTTCCATGAAAACTTTGATGCATTTAAACTCCATTGTTACTGCCCTCCTGCTAAACTGACTCCAGCTGCTCGGATGCCTGAGATGAACTGCACAGATGACTCAGAGGAGATCGTCATGGGTCTACGGCCTCCATGTCCCAACATCTATGCCAACTGGCTGGTTATTCTGCTGCTAGTTATCTTCCTTCTGGTCACTAATGTCCTGCTGCTCAACCTCCTCATAGCCATGTTCAGGTCAGTCAGGATGATAATGATGAATCATATGCAGCTTCGATGCTTTTTGAGAATGATAGAAACAAGAAGCAGATTAGCTCTATTAGTTTTAATCTTTTTTCCACCTAATTTGCAGCTACACCTTCCAGGTGGTTCAGGGAAATACAGATATCTTCTGGAAGTTCCAGAGATACAACCTGATTGTAGAGTACTACAGCCGTCCAGCGCTGGCCCCACCCTTCATCATCATCAGCCACCTCTCTCAGGTTTTCCTAAGTCTAGTCAAACGGCCAGAGCCCAAGCAGGAATACCTTGGTACTAGCTTTAATGGTTCTATTCTCCATTGCTCATCCATCTAGCACACTGAACATTTTATTCTGTCTGTTTCTGTGGAAATTCAATCTCCATGTAATTATTTATTTATTTGTGTGTGTGTGTGTGTGTGTGTGTGTGTGTGTGTGTGTGTGTGTGTGTGTGTGTGTGTGTGTGTGTGTGTGTGTGTGTGTGTGTGTGTGTGTGTGTGTGTGTGTGTGTGTGTGTGTGTGTGTGTGTTGGCAGAGAGGGAGCTGCCCTCGGGACTAGACCAGAGGCTCATAACATGGGAGACGGTGCAAAAGGAAAACTACCTGGCAAAACTGGAGCGCCAGCACTGGGAGAGCAGTGAGGAGAGACTCAAGAGCACCTCGTCAAAGTAATTACTTCTGTTTTTTAAACTGAGCACTTTCTTTTCTCCAGATCATTATTACTGTCCTTTGGTCCCATCCTGCATCATTATATACACATAAAATAATCATTTCTTACTGTGTTTTATTTAGGGTTCAGAGCTTGCTGAAGATTGTTGGTGGATTCAAGGACCAAGAGAAAAGACTTACATCTATGGAAGCTCAGGTACACAAAGAACAACATCGTTTAAATGCAAAACATGGTTACAGTGGGGCAAAAAGTATTTGGCTGCCACCGATTGCACAGATTGTCCCACTTAAAAATATGAGATAGTTCTTTAACTTTCATCATAGCTGTACTTCAACTGTGAAAGATACTATGTAAAAAAATCCACAAAATCCTATTGTATGATTTTTGAATAACTGATTCAAATAATGGTCCAAACATTAAGTAGCACCCACAAACAAGCATGAATTCTGGCCCTAACAGACCCATTAATTCTTCTTTAAGAACCTCTTCTATCCTCCACTCACCTGTATTATCAGCACCTGTTGGAACTCGTTATATGTATACAAGACACTTGTCCACACCTTGAGTCAGACTCCTACCTCCACCATGGCCAAGACCAGACAGCTGTCTAAGGACTCAGGCACAAAAGCGGGATGAGTCAATCCACAATAGTCAAGCAGCTTGATGGAAAGAGATCAACTGTTGGAGCAATTATTAGAAAATGGAATAAGTACAAGATCAACAATAGTTTCCCTTGACCTGGGGCTTCATGCATAATCCCACCTCGTGGGATACAAAGGATCTTGAGAATGGTGAGGAAACAGCCCAAAAACTACAGGGGGACACTGATCAATGACCTGATGGAAGTTGACACCATTAGTAGCAAATGTTACTAATAGTAATACACATCGTCATGGATTCAAATCCTGCAGCGCTTGAAAGGTCCTCCTGCTTAAGTCAGCACACGCCCAAGCCCATCTAAAGTTTGTCACAGACCATTTGGATGACCCAAAGGAAGATTGGGAGAATGCCATGTGGTCAGATGAGACCAAAATAGATTTCTTTGGTATTAAAACTCTTTATGTTTAGAGAGGAAAGATTGCTGAATTGCATCCCAAGAACACCATACCAATGATCCCAAACACACCGCCTGGTAAACAAAGAAGTGGCTACGTTAAAAGCATATCAAGGTTCTGGAGTGGCCTAGTCAGTCTCCAGACCTACATCCAATACAAAATCTGTGGAGGGAGAACATTGGTGTTGCCCAGCAACAGCCCCAAAACGTCGCATCTCTAGAGAAGATCTGCATGGAAGAATGGACCAAAACTCCAGCGAAAGTAAGGCAGTTTCCACAACTGGAGTTTCAGGGTAATTTTACCTAAACTTATTTGTATCTCAATTTCCCTGGGACCAGGCCCAAAGGGACCATTTTCTGGGCCATTTCAGGAACCAGTTAAGTAATTGAGTCACCGTGTGGGACTTGTGGTTAACTTAGACTGATTGGTTGTAACTCAGTAGGAAATTACAACTGCAGATATCATTAAAACCGGCCTTTGGAAAATTAGAAGAGTTGCTGGTGAAATGGCCTGTATATAGCACCTTCTTAGGGTTCTACTACACCCCAAGGAGCTTCACAACACTATCAGTCATCCACCCATTCACACACTGGTGGGGATGCGCTACATTTTAGCCACAGCTGCCCTGGGGCACACTGACAGAGGTGAGGCCTGCCGAACATGGGTGCCACCAGTCCCTCTGACCACCACCAGCAAGAAGGTTTAGTGTCTTGTCCCAAAACACAACAGCAACATTCTCTAATCATGGGATTGAATCTGCAACCTTCTGATTATTGAACAACCCACTCTACTTCCTGAGCTACTTCTGTCTCTAGAAGCGGAATGAAAGAAAAAAATAAGTAAACATTTTAAATCATTTTCTTGACTTTATGCTGAAAAATGCAGCGGAAATCCCCCCCACAACGTCATAAATAATGGCGCTCTGTAGTCTGACAGAGCACCATAAAAATCAACACTTCTTCTGGTCATTGAGCACCACTTTACACTCTCTGCATTCCCTGAATAGATTAAATTAGTGTTCTTTGATAAAAGTAAAACATTTTCATTGTTATTAATGTCTTTTGGCCCTGATCAGTGACACCACTCACTGCTGAAGCACTCGCAATACATATGCTAACATCTTACCAAAGTCCTTGAAAGAGTGATTTTGTATGGTGACACAATGGCTGGGAGAACCAAGCCATCGTATCTCCCAGTTGAATTTCCCTCTCACAGAAATTTTTTAGAATTCCTATAGTGGCAACATGACTATTGTGTGCAAACCTGGTAAAGACCTACAGGAATTTGATCTGTCATTGCCAACCAGGGTTATATTATAAAGTATTGTGGTGGGCATTTGTTATTGACCTAATGCTTGTTTTCTGCATCATTATAATTTCTTTAAAAATCATACAATGTGATTTTTTTTTGGCTTCCATCTGGATTCCGTCTTGCAGTTGAAAGGTTGAAATAAAAATTACAGACGTCTCATATTAAGTGGGACAACTTGCTCAAATATGTTTTTGCCCCCCTGTACATATTTCTTCCTTCTCTGACAGACTGCACAATGTTTTTTCTTCAGGTCAGATACTGTGGAGAAGTGCTGTCCTGGATGGCAGAATGCTTTGCTAACAGCACACTAAAATGTGGAAAAGACGCTCCAAAGGCACCAAGTGAGTCAAACAGCAGAAACAAGAATGACGTTATTTATGTGACAAGTGACAAAATAACACCAGAGATTCAAAGAAAGTAAAACACTGAAATTTTACACTTTGATTGCTGCTTGTATTTTCAAATTAATATTATTATTGCATGAAATTCCAGCATCTCTGACAGTCAGTAAAGCGAGCACCGATGCCGACACCTCTCAGAGCCATCCAGAGAAAGAGACCAAACAAGATCAAGGAGAACCCAAACCAAAGGACGATGCCAAACCGGATCAGTCAGGATACGGAGTCAGCAAGAAGTTTCCTTACATTGATGAATAGAGCAGACAGCTTATGACACAGACACTGGTGGAATTACCCATCTTTTGGCCTTAAATGTACACGATTATCATTTTGACAGTAGGATGTTCTTTTCTGATCAGAGGTCTCCCAGTCTTTTTGAAAAATAATTACCCTTTTATGCCAAAAGGTTACTTACAAAAGGAAGAAATGATCGAGTAAAGGCAAAACAGGGAGGCTGGTAATGGGTCTGGAAATAGTCCTATTAGAACACAGCAACATTGTTTTAATGGAGATTTATCTAGGACTCTATAGATTTTTTGCTAATTTTATCAGGTTGCTACACTAAAAAGCATTTTGACAAAAGTGACATAAAATATAGTTTAAGGAACACCAGGAATCTTTAAACAGTAGTGAAGTATATTCTTTAGATGTAAAGCTGCTATAGCAAATTTGAAAAACAAATTAGCTTAAAACATTTTTTATGCCTCTTAACGTTCTAACATAATTGAGCTATAAATATATTGTGGAGATGAAGTGAAAAAAAAAAGAATAAAGTGGTTCTCTCGCATCCCTCTAGAAACCTCCACCAATAACATGTTTCAGACCAAAAGCCACTTGTACCATCCGGTTGTCAGGCCCACCGAACCATCTCACTTCCCTGGGTTCTTCATTCCTTACACACTCGTGTATTTAGCAACAGAACTCCACTATCCAGCCAGCATACATGCATAGGTGGGCCCCATATGGATTATATATGGGCACATCGTATGGGGCCCACCAGGGTTTGCCCGCAAAGACTCTAAACCCTCTGAAAACCCATGTAGGGACCGTTAAAATCAATGTGGGCAAAGATCTTTCTGAGCAAAACCCTGTGGGGCCACCATGGAAACCATGGAAAAAATCCACATGGGGCCCACCAATATGTGCTGGCTGGGTAGTGCGAGTTTCTCCGCTCAATAATATCAGAGAAGGAGAAACAACTGGCTGCTACCACCTTTGGGCTTTCCGATAAGGTCATGGAAGGGGCTTTATAAATTAAATCAAAATGAAATGACGGGACTGGTGGTTAGCACAATGTCATTTCCTCTGGCACTGTGGGTTTCCGGCCACGGCCGATGCGACTCAAGGATGATTCCTAAGGGGAAGTGTGAGTATTCTGTGATCTAGCTTGTTCTGTAGATTTGCTATAGCAGCTTTAAACCAGCAAAACAAACAAACAAAGCATTAAATATTGGTTGCAATATTAATCTTCCATGACTGACATCAATAAAATTAAACGTTACAGATGGGAAGAACCTAAAGTAAATGTGCTCAACAGTTGCGTTCAGTAAAGGCCAACGTTGAGATTATTCACACGTTCCACGTGTCTACACATGCCACAAACACACATCTCCGTACACCCTCTTCCTCTCTTTATGCACCGAATCTCTTCAAAGCTGATAGCGTTCCTGTCATAAATTTCTGCTGATTGTGCCACACTGACTCTTTAAACAGCTACCTAAAAACCCGTGAAGCAGAAAACTCAGAATGTGAACAGGTCATTAAGGTTTGCAGTAAAAGATGTGCACTGAAGTTTTAGTGTAAATGAAGGAATGTGACCTTAAATGCAGTGAACGAAATTGTTCCATCTTCAGAAAACATTTAAAAAATGAACTTGTGATGAATGGATGAACTAATCGTACCTCAGGCAGGAAAGTTATTACAAGGGTAAAATTTGTTTTATAAACCTTTGATAGCCAGGGAGTTAAAAAAAAAAACAAGCAAATATATTAATTTAATCAAATGAACACATGAAAGCTTGACTTTTTTATGCAGCTTAACTTTTAAGTCCTTCAAGACTCAGTGGGTGAGTGTTGCATTTATTTTTCTTACTAAAGTCTGTAATTACGAACAATTTAAGTGTTTTGTGGCACCTTTTTGTTACCCAGCAGTTACGTTTTATTGTTTGATATTAAACTTCATGATGCAAACTGTGGGTACAATAAAACCATTCTCACTCTTCCCAGAGTCGGCTGTATTTATGATCCCTTGCCGTTCTCATTTTCTATGATCCTCTGTGTGTGTATGTGTTGGTAGATGATGCCATGAGAACACAAGTTGAACAGTTCGAGCGTGTTTAATGATGTGTGTATTTAAAAAGTGAAGGCACCATACTAGTATCTGAACAAAAACAAATCAGAATATTTCCATTTTGAATACGTAATTACATTGTAACAATTTAAATGCACTAATTAAGATTTTATAACCTGCAGAGCGTTCGGATAATAAAAAAACAACTTCTAGTACAATCTAGCACTGAGAATACACAGATGCTCAATGCATTAGTAGGTGGGATAAAAGCAAAAACATGGAAGCACCTCATGAGAACAGGTCGTTACAGAAGTCGCACAGCTCTGAACTTTTAATATGGCCAATTCAAACATATCAAATTTTCTTCCAGCTCTGCAGAGATGTGATTAAAATCCAACAAAAAAAGAAGAGAAAGTCTGATTTGTAAGTTTTAGATTGGCCGATCAGTACTGGTTGATTCTGACACTAAGTCAAAATTTTGACACATTACAAATAAAAATCTATTGAGCATCAATTCAGTTCAGCAGCAACTGAAAAGGTTAATCTGCTAATTACCTGCCAACAAATGTAAGAACCGAGTCAAAGCATAACACTCTTTTCTTCTTAAAACATGTTTCAGATCAAGTTTTTTGAGAAGGACCAAACAACAAAGGTTCAGAGGGTCTGGAAGCTGATGAACAAATAAATAAAAGCATTTATAAAAGACTGTGGCTGTTACTTTTCTCTGCTATTGAAGGAACGAGCAACACTGAAACGCTAAGTTGTGCTCGACACACGAACACGACCATCGTCCAACTGAGTTTGACTTTAGTCTCGTGACACCTCCGGGCCTCTCGGCTGCACTGATGGTCCCTCACGATGAAGAACGTTGTCAAAGCGTGGCGTCACCTCACAGCGTATCAGGAGGGTGTCATCTTTAACATACACTCTCTGACTCAGCTGCTGCAGGTGCATGAAGGTCACATAACCAAATCCTTTGGGATTGCGCGGAATGGTGGGCTTCTGAAAAGCTAGCAGGTCCGGCTTTGTCTCCATCACCTCCATGTGATGCTGACCCTCGGGTCCCTGGTCGAGTATGGCGAGCCGGATGGTCCCTTGGAAGGGCCAGGTCAGCTGCCCGTCAAAAGTTCCTTGCATGGTGTGGACAAAAAGTGAAATGTAGTTGGAGCAGCGTGGGGCAGTGGGGCTCTGCAGGTGGAGACGCAGACACAGCTTGTAGCCTGGGTGGCTGGTGTAGAAGCCGGGGCTGTGCTCCACCACGGTCAGGCCTGCTTCTTGGTTGCGCAGGAGGCCGGAAAATCCTCGGAGGCGCCAGACGAAGATACCATGGCACTGCTGGGCCTCTAGTTCTCTTACGGTGTCCTCCAGCACCGACACCCGGCGCCTCAGCTCCGCCAGCTGCCCTGCCTGTAGGCGAAATGAGTGACTGCATTTAAATTTCAAACGATGCAAGCTTATAACAAGGGTTATAACAGAACAATAGGAAGAAACAGCAGTTTTACTGGTAACAGATCTAAAAGTTTAATAGATCTGTTACCAACCTTCTTATCTTTCAGGTAACCCAGACCCAGGACTAAAGTAAGAGGATACAAGCGCTCCTCTGTGTTCAGTCTGCACTGGGTACTAAAATTCAGGCTGTGTTTGCCTTTGGCGTGGAAAAGCAAGAGTGCAAGTCTGCATTTTAATCACTGATCACATCTCTTTAAAATTCTCCCTCCATCTATACGCAGCACATTAAAGGCTGCACGTTGGGGCAGAAACATGAACACCCCTCCCGGCACACACACAACATAGAGATGCACAACTCTAGCCTTTTTTTAGACAGTGAAATTATTTAGAGGCTTCTGGGTCACACACCTGTGACGAGATGAGTAAGAAGCAGTGAGCGTGCCGAGTACAAAGACGACGTTCAACACACTCCGACATGAGCGGCATGTGAAGTGGCTAGGGTCTCCCAAATAAAGACGGGTGTATTAGCATAAACACGGATTCTTGTTTGCTGAAGGGCACAGCGTCTGACAAAAAACCCTAGCTGACCTGAATCTGAACTGTAGCTATGAAATATTCATAAAACCTAACAGCAACATGAAATATGAACTGATGGAAATAAAGAGCATCTATGTGAAAAGCAATTGAAACGACAGACAGCATGTGGTACTGAGAAGCAACACTTAAAAATAATAAAAGGAGGATTTCTAGTCATTGTGGCAACTAACAACATTAACGCCAATAATTACGGGTCAAACAATTTGATCAATTAAATAAAAAATCCCTAAAGACAAAACTATTTATTTAATAGTTCCCATAACTGCAAAATATCCACAACTTTGTGCAATTGATGTATTTGTATGATTAAAACAGCATTCCCCGTGGACTCCGTGACTATTTACAATATGACCAGAATACAGATGCAGCATCCTGAATAATCAAAAGGTGGAGGTGCTCCTACCTATGCACCCCCACATACTAGCTAAGACTTGCAACGATGAAAAAGCAACTTTTGTGTTTCGAGATGACAGGATCTGGTTTACTAATGTCTACATTTTAATTACAAGTTGTTGGACTTCTGGGTTTCAGGGAAAAATGACTTGGAGTACCTTAGCAGTGCTGAGGACCCACCGTGTGATTCGGTGCTGAAGAAATGTGTCTATAGTTTGGGTTTGATAAACGACACAACTGTCGATCTAACGCGGAGCAAGCCTTAAGTTCCAGGTGATTTATCCAGCGCCGCTTACCTGCCATAGCCTGACCTGCCAGACTCACCTGCCGTCTATTCTACACAGAGGATGAGTCTGGGTACTCAGAGGCAGAGAGCACCATGAGGGGCGGGACTAGCCAGCTCAAAAATAACCAATCAGAAAAAAGGGGGAAATGACGACTGTATCGTGCAACGCTGTAGTTTTTTAGCTGTAGTCACACATGACGTCTGGAGACGGTGCACACATCTTTCTTTACAGAAAGGCTTTTAGCGCTTCCTCTTGATGTGGTTTTAAAGACGTGTTCAAGTCATTTAGACCAGAGGAAAGAGCTGCAGCGAACTCTGCTTCAGACGCCATCTTTGTGGTTTATGAGAAACTGAGCGACGCGGTGTGTGACGTACGCTGCTCAGCTCTGATTGGCTCAGTTAGAATTCTCAGAGGGGAGGGGTTATTTGAATGGGAGCGTTACCAGGCCCGTTGGTGGGTGGGTGAAGGGTCCGCCGGACCCCCAGAGAGGAAAGTACTGGATGCCAGTGACTCAGTGAGGAAAAAAAAAGACAGAAATCCCCAGGGGGTCCATGTGACTCTGTGAGGAACACAGGTGCGTGATGGGGAGATGCCTGCACGAGGCCCAAGAAAAAGAAAAAAAGAAAAATCCTGTTGGGGGGGGGGGGGGGGGGGGGGCAACCACGCACGCACACAAATAAATAAATAAATCCCATCCACTAGTATCCCTGGGGTGAAATCTACCCAGAGCACTGAGTATATGTTTGACCCTAACATAGAGCACAAAATTAGGATTCAACAGGTGGTTAAGTTCAGTGTGCATCAGCTGATGTTATTAGTGACATTTTAGCATGTAAATAAGGAGGAATGTCTAGATATAAGCTGTGAAAATTAGCAGCACACATTGGCCATCGTTTGACCATTACCTCTACGCATCGGCAATAGGTCAATATCTAGTCCCTCACTTGTGTCTCTTTTAAGATGATGAGCTCACGCAGCTGATGATCCTGCTTCACCAAGCGTCCGTCCATCTCTCTGAGCCTCTGCATCTCCTCGCTGGGCTGACATGAAGCAGAGCTGATGCTGCAGCTTGCAGTTGGTCTGACGCCACCGCAGGCTGACACCAATGCTGCAGGTCCTGGATCTTCAGTGGAAACAGAAGGTCCCAGCATGCGCAGGGGCTTTGGTGTGGTGCCATTGAGGCTGAGGCTACGCAGATACTCAGCCATGTAGCGCATGTGCATCTGTGTGAACTCCTGCATGTGTTGGGCCAGGTCATGGCGCTGCATCTGCAGAGGGAACGCAATTTTTAGTTCTACTTTAAGAAATATCTGGTCTGGCTGTGTAACAACTTGGGTTGTTAAAGTGCTCATCTGCTCATTAATTCATTGCAGCGGTCTCTAGGATAAATAAACGCCTTGTGAGTCACTCTCCAAGGGAAAAAAAAAGTTCTTGTGCTCCTGTTTCAGGAAGTAGGAGTCAGCTGGAGGAGAGGGGAGCAGACAACAGCAGTATTTGGATTTTAGACATCTTTCCTCTGATTGGCTAACAGCAACACGACTCTCCCACTGACTCTGCAACGCTGATGTTTTATCTCCACAAACAACACAAGTCTGAAGGAGTTCTGCTGTGTTGTTGAGTTGCTAAAGCTAATGGTTAGCTTCTACTAGCTAAGATGTGCTCTGCTCTCTCCTGGATGCTAAACCTACAACAACCTTCCCCGTCTCGAGCCAAGGTGAGTGAGTACAAGAATGCTAATTTTCAGTATAACATAGATCTGTGTGTTTTTTCTAATCCGAGCATTTCCCTGTGTGTTTTATATCCACGGCTAATACAGGAAATACGGGTAGAAGACTATTTTCATGTTTAGGATGCATGTGAAACTCAGAGTGAGTGATAACATTTCAAAATAATAAATAAAGAATAGTTTCTTAGTGAATTTGGTCTTTAAATATTCCTACTGGATCAAAAGGTCCCGGCCATCACCTACCCTTTCTTCACATCCGAAAATGCTGAAGTTACAGGCAATGGGAGCTTTGGGACAATCTGTATCACAGTGAGACTCCATCTGCAAAGACAAAACAGACCTGACTAGCAGCTCTTAAAGCTGTAACACGTGACCAATAGAACAAGGTAACTTCCTGTTTTAAACTGAAAATGATCTAAAGGTCGCTCTGCTGTGATTAAATGTTTCAACAACAGGGAAGCAGTGGCCGAGCTAGTGATTCGTCACAAACCATAAACCTTTGACACACTGGACATACAGAGTGGGACTTACATGGTCTCTGATGAGATCCAACTCACAGTACTGGCACGTCACGCTGGCAAAGAGACACTGCTGCTCATGAAGCTAAAAAAACGCAACAAAAACAAAAATATAAGACGACTAATACTCAGTTTTCAAAGTTGGATATCAGTAAGACAAATGTACCTCTTTCTCATCCCAAAAAAAGTGTGTCACGCAGTCTGGACATGATACAAGTCTTTTTTGGCACTCGACCGCTTTGTGCTCCTCTAGGTAGCTTTTCCTCACTGCCTGCAGGCACTGTGGGCACGGCACAGTGGTGAACTGACACTGCGCCAAATGATTCTGGAGAGGGCAAAAAGAATTATACAGCAACAATGAAGAAAATTTATACTGCAGCTGGAAAGCAAAAACTGAAATAACGATGATTGTTTACCACACCAGAGACGGATCAAAGTCTCCCCAAAGCCAAAATACAATGAGGAGGGTATAATGAATAATAAGAATAATAAGAATCTGAAATATCCCAGGGAAAATTGTGAACTAAATACAAATCTCTTAATTATTACAACTCAGAGTCGTGAGTACATGACGAGTATCACTATTTTAAATCCAGAAACCTCCGTCTGTGGTTGACTGAACAGTGTTAGGAACTGTTGGAACGGTCAGAACCAAACATGTCAGCTTCCTGCTGTGTTTAGAGAAGATGAGGTAAGTTAGGCCATCGCTATCTTTTTTTATTTTAGAGATTAATGATAAAGATTTCTTTTTATGTCTACTGTATAGTACACACGTTTATTTAAGAATAAAGTCTCATTAGTTGCCACGCACACTACCATCCTCTGAGGGAGCGGTGAGCTACAGACACAGCAGCGCTCAAAAACCATGTGGTGGTTAAACCCCCAATCAAACTTTTTAATGCCGAGTATCAAGCGGGGAGGCATTGGGTCCCATTTTCAAAGTCTTTAGTATAAACCGACCCAGGATCTTCCAGTCTCAAACCACTAAATGCCTTAGCTAGCGCATGACATAAGAGTGACATCCTGTGGTCAAATGTGGGTACTGCAGTCCATGTTTCAAAACAAACAAGTCCGCTCTGAGCAACTGTTGCCAGTTACAAATCAGCAGCAGAAGATTCTAGATGAAAATGGAAGGCAATTTGTACACAGTAAGCTGATCATTAGATAAACATGTTTCACTGTAATATCAAGGGCTGTAATATCAAGGGGACGACTGTGGAACCACTGGAGGAGATAATGCAAAGAAGGATTCTCCAGAGAATCAAGAAAATGATGGACAACCCTGAGCATTCTCTTCACCAGACTGTACGACAACGGAGGAGTGTCTTCAGTCAGAGGCTTCTTCAGTTTTGCTGCAACGCTGACCGCTACTGGAGATCCTTCCTGCCAACAGCCATTGTAATATACAATAACTCTTTGATGACTTGATTATTATTATTATTATTCTGGGGTACTACAGCAATCAATTTCCCTCTGGGATTAATAAAGTATTTTTGAACTGAATTGAAGTTGTTGGTATTTGACAAAAGTAGCTTGAGATAATTCACCATTAGCATTATTAGCTTAATGTTAACCTTTAGCCATCTCCACTTGTTAGTAGAGTAAAATTAAAAGATGCCATGGCTTCTTAAGGGTACAAGAAATAACATCTGGGCTGCTCCTGTTTACTGACTTAACATTATTTCCACAACACTGCAGCTTTTGCCGGCCAGTCTTGAAATATAAATATTTGCGCAGACTTGGCAACCCCGCTTGTTCACATACGACTGCTTCAAGAATAGGGATAGACATTTTTTACATGTCGGCATTGGCCAATATACCTCCTTAGTAAAGAAGATTTAAAGTCAGGAACATCTCTGAGCAGCCTCGTGCCGTTACAGAGTTGCTCTAAAACGTATTTCCAATTAAAATCTCTCTTTATTTAGCGGTTCTGAATATTTATTAGTCGGTTCACAGATTTTTTTTTTTTATGAACTCTAGTTACATGTCTTATTTTAACACAGCAGTGAACAAAATTAAGATTTACCAGCTGGTTGAATTCAGCTTTCAAACACAAATTCATTTTATGAAATTTTGTGCATCAACTGTTGTCATTAGTGACATTTTAGCATGAAAAAGGGTGGAAAACCTCTGAGTGTTGGACATAGATATCGACCCAAAATATCAGCAGCATAAATCGTTCATCAGCTATTGGCTGACCATGACCTTTACTTATTGGCATCAGTATCGGCAATAGAAAAACCAATATCGGTCGATCTGGAACCAGGAAGTATGGAAGAAGGACAGATTGTAAATAATTGGTCGTTTTAAAAGCAGAAAAACTGACAACCCTGCAGCCGTCAGAGGGGAAATCCGTTTCATTGTAACCTTCATCCCAACACGACTGAGACATTAGACTGTTTTGTTCATAATTCATTGTAAAATTCTTACTAATTTCACCTTTAACCGAAGGATCCAACATGTCATTTTAAAACAGGAACTGGATGAGAAGCTGTGTGTCACTTCAAATTCTAACCTCTAAGTGTCGGAGCTCCATTTTCTCGGCACAATCGGAGTTTGGACAGCGAACAGTTAGCGATAAAATCTCCCTCTTGGCAAAGTTATCGGGAAACAGTTGGTCTTCTGATAGCATTTCATTGTCCACGGGGCACCGCTGCCCTGTATCACTGCAGTGCAAGAGGAAGAACAGTAATTATTTAGACAGAGGATTAACTTTATCAGTTTACATGTGGGGCCTTGCATTTGGGTAAGAAAACCACAAAAATACTAGATCATTTAAATTCAGAGGACATTTAGAAAACTAGACTGTTGGAGGGGGGTTATGAATACAATATGAACTTTAGTTACTGTGTTGCAGGACTATTTTAAGAGCAGAGTGAAACCATACCGAATAGATTTCTCAATGCAGCTCTTGCAGAAGCGGTGACCACAGCGTGTTTGAATGGCGTTCCTTAACGCCATGAGGCAGATAGGACACTCGTATTTACTCTCTAGGGGTGGGTCAAATTCTACATCGTAGCCCTGAAGGGGGTCAGCAGCCTGGAGACAACTGGAGGAGTTACTGATGAAGGTGCCGGGACCCTCCGAAGGGCTCAGAAGATACTCTCGTTCCTTTTCCAGCATCGCTAAGGCACATCCAGGCAGCTCCTTGCCATTAACTTCATTATTGCTGTCCTCCTCCAGACTCCCCTTACTGCTCTCACAGCAAGCCATCTGTAGGAGGTCACAGATGGCTGAAAGAGATTAATTGTACAATTAAAATAGTTTTGAAAATAAAAATGCAACTGTAAAAAAAGAAGACAAATTCCCCACACAGCTGAATGTCCCTGTGTCCTAAACATGCTGATCACCACAACACTAAATAAACAAATAAAATATTCTTCTCCTCTCATTTCACTTTAGCCACTTTAACTTCCTCCTAACAACTTCCTTCGAGACAAGTCGTGCTACTTACATCACTGTAATAATGACAGCATCCATGGTTTTAGGACATGTCTAACATCTATATTACCTAAAAGACGCCCCAATAACTTCGTCGTCGTCTTCCTCCGCTTATCCGGGTCCGGGTCGCGGGGGCAGCATCCCAATTAGGGAGCTCCAGGCCGTCCTCTCCCCGGCCTTGTCCACCAGCTCCTCCGGCAGGACCCCAAGGCGTTCCCGGACCAGATTGGAGATGTAACCTCTCCAACGTGTCCTGGGTCGACCCGGGGGCCTTCTGCCGGCAGGACATGCCCGAAACACCTCCCCGGGGAGGCGTCCAGGAGGCATCCTGACCAGATGCCCAAACCACCTCAACTGGCTCCTTTCGATCCGGAGGAGCAGCGGTTCTACTCCGAGTCCCTCCCGAATGTCCGAGCTCCTCACCCTATCTCTAAGGCTGAGCCCGGCCACCCTACGGAGGAAACTCATTTCGGCCGCTTGTATCCGCGATCTCGTTCTTTCGGTCATTACCCAAAGCTCATGACCATAGGTGAGGATTGGGACGTAGATCGACCGGTAAATCGAGAGCCTGGCTTTCTGGCTCAGCTCCCTCTTCCCCAAGACAGATCGGCTCAGCGTCCGCATCACTGCAGACGCCGAACCAATCCGCCTGTCGATCTCCCGATCCCTCCTACCCTCACTCGTGAACAAGACCCCGAGATACTTAAACTCCTCCACTTGAGGTAGGACCTCTCCCCCGACCCGGAGGTGGCAAGCCACCCTTTTCCGGTCGAGAACCATGGTCTCAGACTTGGAGGTGCTGATCCTCATCCCAGCCGCTTCACATTCGGCCGCGAACCTACCCAGCAAGAGCTGAAGGTCAGAGCTGGATGAAGCTAGGAGGACCACATCATCCGCAAAAAGCAGAGACGAGATTCTCCTGTCACCAAACTCGACACACTCCACACCACGGCTACGTCTAGAAATTCTGTCCATAAAAGTGATGAACAGAACCGGTGACAAAGGGCAGCCCTGGCAGAGTCCAACCCTCACTGGGAACAGGTCCGACTTACTACCGGCTATGCGGACCAAACTCACGCTCCTCTGGTAAAGGGACTGAATGGCCCTTAACAAAAAGCCACCCACCCCATACTCCTGGAGCGTCCCCCACAGGGTGCCCCTGGGGACACGGTCATAAGCCTTCTCCAAATCCACAAAGCACATGTGGATTGGTTGGGCAAACTCCCATGCCCCCTCCATCACCCTTGCAAGGGTATAGAGCTGGTCCACAGTTCCACGGCCAGGACGAAAACCACATTGCTCCTCCTCTATCTGAGATTCAACTATCGATCGGACCCTCCTCTCCAGTACCTTGGCGTAGACCTTTCCAGGGAGGCTGAGGAGTGTGATCCCCCTATAGTTGGAACACACCCTCAGGTCACCCTTCTTAAAGATGGGGGACCACCACCCCGGTCTGCCACTCCCTAGGAACTGCCCCCGATGACCACGCAATGTTGTAGAGACGTGTCAACCATGACAGCCCTACAACATCCATAGCTTTGAGATACCCAGGACGAACCTCATCCGCCCCCGGGGCTCCGCTGCTGTGTAGTTGTTTGACTACCTCAGCAACTTCTGCCCCCGAGATCGGACAGTCCATCCCCAGGCCTCCCAGCTCTGGTTCCTCCTCGGAATGCGCATTGGTGGGATTGAGGAGCTCCTCAAAGTATTCCTTCCACCGTCCGACTATAGCCTCAGTTGACGTCAGCAGCTCCCCATCCCCACTGTAAACAGTGTGAGCGAGTTGCTGCCTTCCTCTCCTGAGGCGCCGGACAGTTTGCCAGAACCTCTTTGGAGCCGATCGATAGTCTTTCTCCATGGCCTCACCAAACTCCTCCCACGCCCGAGATTTTGCCTCGGCAACTGCCACTGTTGCACCCCGCTTGGCTATACGGTACCTGTCTGCTGCCTCCGGAGACCCACAGACCAGCCACGCCCTGTAGGCCTCCTTCTTCAGCCTGACGGCTCCCCGAACCTCTGGTGTCCACCAGCGGGTACGGGGGTTGCCACCACGACTGGCACCGGCCACCTTACGACCACAGCTAGCAACAGCCGCCTCGACAATCGCAGAGTGGAACAAGGCCCACTCGGACTCAATGTCCCCCACTGCTCTCGGGACGTGGTCAAAGCTCTGCCGGAGGTGGGAGTTGAAGACCGTCTTTGACTTTACGTCACATTGTCTTCAAATAAAACCTTGAGGTTTCTATTTTGTTTTTGTGAAGTTCTCAGAGCTAATTCTTTCCAACTAAATGCTCAAACCATTGATTTACTTTGAACTTTTACTTTATAACACAATGAGTTAAATATTTCTCGTCAGTGTCTTAAAACTGGAGAAAAGTATATCAATTATCCGATAAATCCAAGTGTTTACATATTAAACGTGTAACAACAACAGTGTAATGTACTGACTCGTTATAATGAGGTACTATATGGGTACTATTAGCTAAAAGAGGCATCGTCCTTATCTTACAGCTGAATTAAAAGTAACCAAATTTAAACTTTTTAAATCGCAAGTCGATAAAACGTCACATTTTTAAGCTAATTTGTAACTCAGTAACCCTTAAAGCCAAAATTATCAGATAAAGTACACTTTTGTATGCAGCATGTTAGCAGGCGGCATGCCCAGACGCGGAACCGCAACTTTGAACCAAAACGACGCAGGAAACAGAAATAAGAAATCCAAAGATACTGACCAAAACAGGGACAAGTACACACACGCTTTCGACAGCAGGACTGCGTCTGTGACTATGAACGCTGACGATATCGCAGATAATCACCCACCTTTGGGTTATAACAGCCTCGAAGTTTTTGTTTCAGATTTCCTGTTTTTTGTTTTCCAAACGTCACCGAAGATGACGTGCCAACATTTTTCTCTTTCTAGGCACGCGAGCGCCTCCCCGTGGCAGGAGTTCTGTATTGCCGCACAGCAGCAAAAGAGAGAGAAAAATGGCGGAGCTCAGGAAAATTAGTCCTGTGTGTTTGCCTTGCCGTCTCAGCTACACACGGAAAACCTCGTGTCACGGGAGGCTCTTCTTGATTCTTTGTATACTTTTAGTGGATTCCGGGGGAGCTACGACTCATTGGGTTGTCACCGAGGATGGAAAAATCCAACAACAAGTATGTCAGTTAGCTCACTGACCTGCTAACGCTTATGTAGCTATTTATCAAGCTAACAATTTTTATTAGAATGACTAAAACAAACGTTTTTTTTCATCGTGTTGATTGAACCGCTGTAGCTTTGTTTTAAACTGAACACAACGTGTCTGCTCTGTTACACGTTACGTTCAGCAAACGCTTCAAAATGAAGGGCTAGTGACTCACTTAGCTTTACTGAGTAGAGGAACGCTGCTTTATCAGTTGGGCAAAATGAGACAAAATCAAGATAACAGTAGTTTCATGCCTAAACCAACGTACTGTTTAAGTGATTAAACGCTAAGAAACTGTCCGCTTTAGTGGGATCGAGGGGACTGAGCTGTGTTTGTTTATGTGCCAAGCTTGCAGGCGCTGACAGGATGAAGTAGCACATCTGAGAGTAAAGAGTGTCATGTACACAAACCTTCGCCGTCATCTATGGTTTTAATTCTGTGATCTTTGCACTTTCGTTTCAGGTGGACTCTCCTTTAAATCTGAAACATCCGCATGATGTTGTAATCTTCATGAGGCAAGAGATGCGGGTTAACTACCTCAAAAAGCTGGAGGTGTTTATTTTTTTCTTTTAAAAACAGAGTGCATGTAGATATCTCTTTTTTTTTTCAAATAAAATATTTACATAAAAATAGTGATTATCAGCAACAATCCATTGTGTCTGGTTACCAGTAATTCATGTGCTTTTATTTATTACATTTGAACAGAAGCAGCTAGTAGCACAGAAGATTCATATTGAGGAGAACGAAGATCGAGACACGGGTTTGGAGCAGCGACACTATAAAGAAGATGTTGACTGTGTGATGGCTAAGGTACCATTGGGAGACCTGGATCTTTATGACGGCACTTATGTCTCCCTGGAAAGTAAAGACATCAGGTAAGGTCTCAGGTAAACTCTCAGAGCAGACAGACAATATTTGAATGTATACAGTTTTTTCCAGTTTTGAGTTTACAGAAAACTTCTGTAATGATTGTTTGGGTTTTTTTCCCCTACTTTTCAGCGCTGAAGACTACGTTGACTCACGGTCTGCTCTGCCGCCAGATCTAGAGAAGCCAGACTGTGCAAATGTTTTTGAACTACCTTTTAGTATCCATGCTTTCCAGCATCTCAGGGTGAGCAAAAAATTAATCTTGTGAATTGTCACATTATTTTTTTACCCCTCAGCATCTGTGGTGTGGGAAATAAACTATTTGGAGATTTGATCATGTAAGAAAAGATTCATACATGAAGGAATTATGTTATTCTGTTGTTATCTCTACACAGCATTCATGTTCTGCTGTGGGTTTCACTAATTCTTAAAGAGCTAGTCACCCCCTACCAGAATATTACTCCGCTCCCACTCCCTGTTTGAAAAATGCAACAAATGCTGTTACCTAGCAGACCAAGAGGGCGAAGCCACTAACAAATACACACACACACAAACAGGCTCAAAATGACATTGTGACATCATATGGTACCAGCTACCGTTTTAAGGTACCTCTTAGCCAATAGCAATGGCAGATTTAAATTCAAATGCAGTGCAGTTTTTACCTGACAACTGCCCAACACTGACAGTTTTAGGCAGAAAATAAAATTTTTAACTAAAATGCACTAAAGTGCACAACTATTGACTACACGTGTCTACAGCTCAATTAGACACATTTATATAGTTTATCAGAAAAAAAAAACGTTGATTTCAGGGTTTCCCCCAGAAAATGGGTTAAAGAGCAAATTGCAGGTAATTTTTTTTCTAATTCATATAAAATGCTGTCCAAAAAATACTGTTTAAAAAGCTTATTGTGGATATTTGGTTTTAAAATATATAACAGCAGAGTCTTTCTAGTAGAACGTGGCCTTTCCCAGCAAAGCTTTTTTTCTAAATCTGAACCTCTGATATAACCAAAGGGAGTTAGAAGCTAGGCGCTGCCTCAGCTCAATGTGGAGAGTGGGTAGTTTTAGCGTAGAGAGACAATGTTATCCAGTTGTGTTTACTAGTGGTGGGTTGTGTTCATGTTGATAAACTAGAGTGTGTGAAGGCTGTACCAACTCCAGCGTGTCCGGACATTGAGTCCCCGGGTCTCCAGACAAGAGAAACAAGGCCTCTATCTCCGTGCCTGAGGGCGTTTTGTGCAGCTGTAGCCCGCATCGGTCGGTACCGGGACAGAGAGGTCCGCGCTGGGCTCCAGAGACCCGCGGTGGGGTTTAAAAATTTTTTTATGAGGATTTCTGGAGCTCGGATCACCGTCAGAACCGACCTCCAGAAGAGACGCGTGGCTCAGCGGACCAGCTGGTTTCCGGGTTGGAACCGGATCGGAACCGCCGCCTTGACCACCAAGAGAGAATGTGCGGCTTTTAAAAATACCAGCTCGACTGTCTCGCTTGTGTTTGGGCCAAATCCAGCTCACAGAAGCCCGCATGAGCTCCAGAACCGGATGACAGGCATCTCTCTCCCTCTCTCTAAGCTAAACTACGATACGTGAACAGATATTAGCGAGTATGAGATCGCTGACAGACGCTCATTAGTATCAATATTATATTAACTGACGATACTATTTTAATTGTCTGGTACATGATAGTAATATGTACAATATTGGGATGTTAGCACACGAGTTTAAGCTAACTTGGTTAACTCACCAGACACCTGCCCCCCCGCCACAGCTCTTCCTGTTGGATGTGTTTTCTTCTTATTTTAATGCTTTCCTGATTCTATTTCAATGCTTTGCTAAAAATATTTATTTTTTTCTTGTTATTTTAATGCTTTTCTGAAAAGTATCGGCGGATACTCAAAATCAAATGACTCGGAATCGGATCGGGAGCAAAAAAATGTCATCTGAACATCCCCACGTGTAACACATCTCTACTCTTTGCTTATTCCAGGGTGTACAGGAGAGGGGGAACTTGACCTCTCCGCTTCTTTCTAAGGATGATCCTATTTTTAGTTCCTTGTCTAAAAAGCTGGGCCACAGCGTAGACGAGGTGGGCCATCGCATCCATCAGAGCCTGCTGAGGGTAATGTAACCTGGACTTCAGTGCTTCTGTAAAACCAGCCTAAAACCTGGACTAAATGATTTAGGTTTAGATTCAGTTTTATTACTTTATGTGTGATTTTGTGTCAGGCAGCATCGGTGAGTTTTCGTTTTCTGCAGAAAAAGAAACATTTTTTTGTGAATGTTGCGTTCTAGAACTCTTCTTCCTGGGTTCTGTACAACATGGCGTCGTTTTACTGGCGTATGAAGAACGAGCCTCAGAAGGCGCTGGACTGTGTCGTACGAGCTTTACATTTCTCTCCCAGGTAAATTCCTGTTCTGCATCATTAACTTTGCTGGTTGCCACACCAGAGTCCTCATGGGTGTGTCTGTTGTGGTTACAGGCAGCACAAGGACGTAGCACTGATCAACATGGCCAACATCCTGCACCGGGCCCATTTCTCAGCAGATGCTGCGATTCTCGCTCACGCAGCGCTGGACCTTACCTCAGATCTCTTCACCAGTCACTACACTTTGGGCAACATTTACGCCGTAAGTAAAAAAGAAAACCAATCAGAATTCAGTAGTTTGCTTAGGATTTAATTGCTTTTTGTATTAAGCAGATTTTTTAAATCATTCTATTTTAAACTTTACAGAGCAAGGACAGGCCCATATATGATTAAAATGTTACTGTTCACACTGTGAAGACGTCATTTGTTCTGAAATATAAGATACTTGAAATGTTTTGTCAACTCAGAAATAAGACGCTTGGATTAGATGAAATCCCACCCCCACCCATATGAATTCCACCCAATTCATGATGTAATCCTAGATCCCCAGGAAGGTATCATGGAGCATGACAAAGAAGAAATCAGCTTTGGCAACGTGCACGCCTGTGGTGAACTGGTGAACGGAGCGCCGGGACATTTTTTCAGTGGCCTGGTCACTGAACTGAACAGTAACTGTAGAGTGCATCCGCCCACTCCGGAGATTCTCCATCGGAGAATCGAGTCACTAACACGCACACGTCACTGTGGCCTTTCCATCGGATGGTTTTAACGCTGGAATACTACTAGTTTGAAGAAGTAATCTGTCTGAAAACCACTCCCGTATTGGTGGTGGTTTAACAAACAGTCTGACTCAGTTTTTGAGAGCTCTTGAAGATAAAATCTAACCATTTCTGCAGATTCTTCAGGAAGACTGGACAGGGATCCTGTTCTCCTTGCAGACAGAAACCCATTTTGGGTTCTAGGCTTTATTTAAAGTGCAGACTAGAAAAGAAAGTAATCACTTGTTCACATCTGTGTAGATTAAACTACACGTCTGTAGCTACACGGAGAGACTGGATGTTGGTGTTTACAGTCCATGGTAGAAGGGATTCCACAGTTTCCTGAGTCCACACAGGAGCAGTGCATGATGACTCAAAACCTTTTCGTCCAGGCATTTGCAATAGCTTTGTAGGCCTGTAGAGGGTCTGCAGCTGAGGGAGCAGAGTACACACGTAAAACCCAACTGCTTTGGGGTAGGCCTAGCCAAAGAATTGATTGAATCAAGTAAATCAATTTTTATGTATTGGCGTCTTTGTAGCATTGTTTGTCATAGCAATATGGCAAGCGTTAACAACGTCATAGCACACACCAAACAGCAACAGCAAGCAACAACGGCTATTGGTGAGAGTGGGAAGTTTGTTCCTAAGAATAAAATCATCTGTTGTTTGGAACTGGTATGGGTTTGCTGCGACAGACGTGGAGCAAGAGAGCCCATGCTGCATTTGCCTAAAGCTCTCTGCAGTCAAAGGCAGCCGCACCACAAACCTATTTCAGCACCTGAAACGGAGGCATCCAGCCGAAATAAAAAATGCCAGTGTCTCCGAGACGAACAAAACTGCAGTGACCAACAAACCATAGCTACAAACAGCTAACTGTAGCCAAATCCATTGCACAAGGCACCGCATATGACAGGAAATGGGCACGGCGGAAAACAATCACCGAAGCAGTAGCTTTGCACAAAGAAAGACATGCTTTCGATTAAATAAAAGCAAAAAAAAAAGCTTTAAGTTCTCTTCCATTTGTACTTATTGTTTTTCTTAAAAATTGGGGAGGAGGATCGAAATAATATCGCAAATTGAAAAAAAAAATAGAATCAGTGATTTTATTTTTAGGCCATATTGCCCAGCCCTGCTATGGGGTGTGGAAATAACAATTAAACATGGTCAAACGTTCCAAAACGTGGATTTTGCTTGCTTAAGTCCCATTAAAAGCTTAGTTTAATATTGGTAAATAGATTATGTTTAAATGTCCTGGCTGTGTGTAGAATATGTGGCAAGACCGTAAAATGTGAACACCGTGGTGGTAAACGGTGTTTATTTTAACACAATGATGTTAATTTTTCATAAAGATAAAAGAAAAAATAAATCTGTGTTCTGACCTACCAGCATAATGTAATGCGCCTTTGTGCTTTATCCGTGTGTACAACTCTATTTTCTTGTAGTCTGTTAGTTTGAGTTGTTCGGTGTAGAAATCTGACTTTGACCCGAACCACCTCTGTGGTCTTTTAATTGACTCTTCTGCTGCGGTCCCACCAGATGCTTGGGGAGTACAACCACTCGGTGCTGTGTTACGAGCAAGCCCTGCAGGCCCAGCCGGGCTTTGAGCAGGCCCTGAGGAGGAAACACGCCGTGCTCTGTCAGCAGAAACTGGAGCAGCGCCTAGAAGCCCAGCACAGGTGCACCAGTCCTCAAGTACACACTCGGGGAGCTGCTGCTAAAGCTAAACCTCACACAAAAATAAGATATCAGGAATTATTCAGATGGGGTTTATTGTATGAAACCTTCAAATCTTGGCTTTTCAATTTTCAGTGAAATTGTTTTCTGCTGAGAGAAAATTTGCAGAATAATCCGAATCAGACATACATTTTAGAAATTGGCTGGTTGGTGCACAATTCCAAAAAATCTGGGTGTTTCTGGTGGTTAACCATCCATAGAACCATTGATCAGTCAATCTGAACATGTATGTTAGTAAGAAGTTGTCTCGGTCCCTGTTTTTAATGCCAAAGATCCTGTTTATTCCATCTCCATTGTCCCACGGTCGTAGGTCTCTGCAGCGGACGCTGAACGAGCTGAAGGAGTATCAGAAGCAACACGACCACTACCTCCGCCAACAGGAGGCCCTGGATAAACACAAGCTCCTGCAGGAAGAGCAAATCCTACGCAACATTATTCACGAAACCCAGATGGCCAAGGAAGCTCAGCTTGGTGAGACACGGCGCCTAAACCTGGACATGAAGGCAGAATGATCGCAAACTCTAAAAGCCATTCATCTACTTTTCAAATTTAAGATTCTGAATAGTTCATATTATGGTGGAGGTTATAATTTAGCTTCTTTTAAGCTGAATAATCCTGATGAGTAGGGAGAATGAGCCTCATTTCAGCATCATGAAGGGCAAGCTGATCAGACGTTGTGCTGTTGTGTTTGCAGCAAACCCATTTAGATGCAAAAAGCCATGTTTTCATCATCTAACTTGACTGTTTGTAAAATAAGTTTTAAATGTTTCTTGAGTTTTTGACAATCTGTTTTTTTTTTTACTTCTCTAGTTTGTCTCCATGACCTTGACACCTATTCAAAAAACATTTGATGGTTAGAAAATGAATGAAATCCAGTCATAATGGAAGTTTGTATGTGTTGATGTTGAGACATTTCTACGATGCTATAGTTATGTGCATGCATGCTGCGTTAATGAACACGTTTTGCTGTGAGAAGCAGCAGCAGCTGAGGAGTGTGTGTGTGTGATGTGTTTCAGGGAACCATCAGATGTGTCTGCTGGGTCACCAGCAGCGCAGCCTCTACTGCCCCTTTGACCTGCCCGTGCGCTATCACCGGGGCGACCTTTTTGAGCATGTCCAGTTTGTCCAAGTGAGTTTGGGATCTTTTGATACCATGCTTAAAAATCTGCATCTACACTCAGAATTTTAAATCTGCACAGACCTGACCTTGTCACTAAAACAGTTAACTAGAAAATCTCTTCATTAAGAAACAGAAGAGATGCTTTTGAAACCAACAGATGTATCTACCTGGAGGTCCTGGTTGTGAATGTTCTGAGTGTTGGGCCAGTGGACCTAAGCACAGTGTCTTTAGAGAAAACTGCGGATGGAGAACAGATGGTATTTACATATTTGTGTCAGATGAGGTCCCGTGTTGACGTGTGCTTTACTGGTGATGCTGTTGGCCACACTTAACCAGTGTGGAGCCTAAAACACTCTGCTGAAGGTGAATAATCCTAAAAATTACGTTTTTTCTTGTTTGTTTTTTCCCCATTGTATGTGATCAGAATAAAAGTAATACAGCAATAGACAAACTGGACCACAGAAGCTGGTGATCTCCATCAGGCTACAGTTCTGTTTTGTTTCTTTGAGTGCAGTTTGGAGAGGAGGTGTCGGTAGCTTCCAGCCTGGCTCTGATGTCGGAACGCAGCTCAAACCAGACAGCGACCAGCCCGGAGCTCCATCCCTCTGTCTCTGGGGATCAGGACCCTGCTGCTGCCCTCTGGAGCAACCATCAGGACCACACACAGGTAGGAGAGAAACACAGCACGGGGTCTCTCTCTCTTGGAAAATGGTTGCTATGACACCATCACATGCTGTAGTTCATGTAAACACTTTTGAGGTTTACATCTGATAATATTCAGTTTCAACTAAATCTTTTGAAAATCTTCAAGTTGGAGCAGAGCTCTGTACCCTTCTACTCTTTCTCTAGGGATGCACCCGTATGAATGTCTTTGGGCTGATACTGATAGCCGATATTAATATCACTGTTATGGTCGATAACCTATAGTTGCCAATACATATATGTCACCCACAGTGACACATACGCTTCTGAAATCTGCAAATTTTGAATAGACTGAACATTATGCAAGCTGAATTTTTAAATGTCTTGCTTTATTTCTTCAAAGTGGAATTTGCGATATGTAATTCTATACAAACACATTTACGCTTCTGAGATGAGTACCACATCACCCTCCCCCCCCCCCCCAATCCTCATAAACAGATACACTAACAGAAACAAGATGGGAAAAATATCAGTTGTTAATATCGGCCCAGTTTTACTCATCAGACAGATACCGATATGTTATAAAATGACTAACATCGGCCGATACCGATATTGTCCATCCTTGGCTTTGACAAATGAATGCTTTTTTCCCCCATCAGTGTCTCACAACTGTTGGAAATGGACCAATAGAAAGTAAATAAATGAATGTTATTGAGCTGATTGGTCGATTTAAAGTTTGATAAAGCTGATTAAAAACCCTAAAGGTGAGAGTGATTTACTTACCTTTATCTGTTGCTTTTAGGACATCCAGAAGATACTATGGCCTCAGAAGAGTGACTGTGCACATGAGTACCCTCTTGTCCCCCCCGCTCAAATGCTGCCAACCTTTTACCTGTCACCTGAATCACAGGGCCTCAGGTCAGTTTGTTTTCACTGCATGTTTACGTGGGTGCAGTTGTATGAGAAGGGTTTGTAGTGATAAAGCTTGGGTTTATTTTGCTGCAGAGATTTTAATGTCTTTGTCCCTGTTGTCTACCTGGTCTATTGAGTGATCCAGCATTTCTTATTTGCTCAAATCTGTTGCCTGAACCTGCCTGTGACCCACTAAAACAGCAGCCATGGTTGAAAATGCTCTTCCTTTCTCCTTCGGCCCTTTTCTTAGCAGGCTTTTGGAAGAACAAGAACAATCAGAGGTGTACGAACAAGGGCTGCATTCCAGCTCTACTTCCTTGTAAACAGATTGCTCTTTAAGACTAACTGGAACAAAATATCTGTTAAATGGAATGCAGTTCCTTTGATGTGATGAATATTTAGCATTTGGTGTTTCTATTAAACACTAAAGCCTAATTCATACTTATCCTTCTGCGTCGGTACGGAGACATGCAGCGCCATTTTGCGTCGACGCAAGGGCTCTCAGACGGGCTTGTGGAGGCTGACGGAGACATGCCCCAAATTTTAACTATCCGTCGAAAGAGACGGAGACAGCAATCAAATCACTTTTATTGTCACGTCACATGTGCAGGTACACTGGAACAGTACATGCCAGTGAAATTCTTGTGTGCGAGCTTCACAGCAACAGAGTTGTGCAAAAATACAATAACGTAAAAACAAGCAAAGTATAAAAATAGCTAATCTAAGTAATGATATATATAGTATGTAAAGCAATGCAAGCTTGTGATTGGTCAGGACGCTGCTTCCTGTTTTCATTCGTCATCAGCACCATCTTTAGAGATATTTAGCGGCAGACACGGAACAGATTGAAGAACGCATCATGGAAAAAGTCTGAAAATATGAATGTTTATTCACTCGTGACTGAATGAGTACAAAGATATGCAGCAGGCGTTTTGTTCGTGGATGGAAAAGATGAGAAACGTGGGTTTAGAGGTGCCGATTACATAAAGAGGTGAAGAGGAATGAGGGACAAATGTGTCCGTGTTAAAAAGTCTCTGAAATACATTAAAACAATGTAAACACAATAGTAAATACACTATCATGGACCGGATACATGACTAATGGTGACAGGATACCTCAGAATAGCGCTACGTCCTGTAGGAGTTGGTAAATTGATTGCTTTCGTATTACCTCTACTTATGACCAGTAAGCTGTGATACTCTATATAAATATATAATATCTACCTGCTTGGTCTTTGGATGTTTAATCAGAAGATTCTAGGATTCTTTGTTTATTCAGGGATTGTAGAAGACTTCGTCTTGATTCAAGAAAAGAGTCAGGTTTATAAAAAGTAAGAATTTATTTTCTAAACAATTAAAACATGACAAGTTAACTAATATTTACTGTGATGAATGGATGGATCTAGGTGGATGAAATGTGATGTATGGTGCCTTTGTGTGAATATGATGTTAATATGATGTTATCAGAACATTCGTATCTAGAAGAACTGAGTTCTGGGTGTAAAAGGGAAAGAATTTGGTTTGCGTTGAGCTATAAGGTTGATTCTTATCAAAAAGGCATCAGACGCTATCTATGTGTCTACTTCACCCTTTCTTGGAGAGCCTCTTCGTGGATCCGAAGGTCAGAGAGGTCAGATGACCTCTGGCACCGAGGTTGTAGAATACCGCAGCAGCGACCCTCCAGTCCAGAGATGTTTTCCGGGTCACCACAGATGGATGGAACCGTTGAGTCTAGGAGGACTCTTAAGGAGTCGGAACAATATCAGCTTTGTTCTGCAGGAACCGTTTGCTGTGTCAGCAGTAGGCAGCTTTTAGCAGGGTTTTGGCAGCTTGCCAAAATTGCTCAAGGCTAAATAGTGTCGCTCCGGACTGCCGTTCCGGAGCTCTTTCTCTAGAACTGAATGCTGAGTGATGAAAGCTGGAATGCGACTGCTACTGCTGAATCACCAGAGTGATTCTGTTTTGTGATTTACTTGGCCATTCGGAGCGTGCCATGTAAAGGGTTATTACCAAGATAACTTCTTCAGAAAACACTCCTCCTTGAGATACCGGATGCTTTGATCTGGGGTAAAGACAGGCGCGTTGCAAGCTTTTCAAAAGTGTGGGGGATGTTGTCTGTGCCTAAAATAAGTTCATGTTATTCATCTCGTTAGTTTAATTTCCATAATAGCGGAGCAGGTGCGAATTTTAGACGCGTCACGCATGTCTCCGTTTTAAACATGTTTAAACTGTTCAGAATACAAATCCAGGCTCTGTCTCGTTAGATTGGTGTAACTAGAGTTTGTACTGAATGAAACTTTACATTAAACCATGTTGAAAAGAAAAGGATCCGATTAAATCGTTTCCCCCTCATTTACAGTCAGTACAGCGCAGTGCGCATGGCTCTGAGGTTAATCAAGTTTAGTTGTTTCTCTTTGCAACAATCTTCACAGGAAGGTAAAACAGTTAAATGGCAGGTTACAGATATTTCCATTAGACTGTTTATTTTGACGGATAAACTCAAGGATGTTGGTTGTTTTTAAATAATTACCCCGGCGCACACTGATGCACACACAGATGAGCTGACATTTCAATCGTTACGCACATCGTAGAGGAAACTAAATAAATCAAGAAATGATTCCCATCAGAACATCAGAGCTTTATACTGGACACTGTGCTCAGCGCGGCTCGGAGCGTACACGGTGGACAGTGAGCTGAAGATCTGTAGAGGGGTTTGCAGCGCAGCGCAGTGCAGAACCACGACGCATGCAATAAGATTTCCTCCCACTGAAGCGGTCTGGAAAGCCGGTCTCTCTGAGGGATGTGTCACTTGGAAAAGTGTTCGCTGATTATGAAACTTTGGCTGAATAACGCTTGTTCCCGTCTCTAATATGGAGATGCATGACACATCCAGTCTGTCTGAGGCAGAATAGCCTTTTCAGCTCAGAAAGCACCTGCAGAGACATTTGATCACGCACAAAGTTCATGTGGAGCAGAAGCGGTCGGGCCACGGCAGGTGAAATGTTCCTAGCCTACATGAAGTGAAACTGTTTAATTGTAACATTAATATGTTACTGGACACGCTGGTCTGGTTGGTTAGACCAGTGTTTGAAGTGGAAAACACACACACACACACACGCACACACACACACCAATTAAAATAATGCTGATAGCATGGACTAGAAGACAGGTGATGGTTTACGTATTTAAATGATGATCAGGCTGCTGTAAAATGTAATCTCCATCCACATCCAGACAGAATTATCCTCTATTCTGTCTCTATTTTCTCTGCTCTTGTCTGGGCTGACGTAGCTGACGGAGCGCGCGGCGCGCCTAGTGGCTGTGATGCAAATTTTACGCATTTGGAGAGGTGGGCTGGATGCTTTGCTTTTACTGGAAGATGATCCACTTAACGCACGGGTGTAGACTACATATTAATGACAAATGAATGAAAATTAAAGAGCAAGTCACCCCCTACAAGAAACTTACTTCACTCCCACTTCATGTTTGAAAAATGCAACAAATGCTGTTGCCTGGCAGACCGAGAGGGCGGAGCCGCTAACAAATACACACACACAGGCTCACAATGGCATTGTGACATAATGTCCCAGATGACATCATAGCATACCTCTTAGCCAATAGCGGTGGCAGATTTAAATTCAAATACAGTGTAGAATTTTTCCCTGACGACGGCACAACACTGACAGTTTTAGGCAGAATATTTGAATTTTAACCAAGATGCACTGAACTGCCAAATTATTGACTACATGTGTCTGTAGCATGATTAGACACTCCTTTATGTAGTTTATCAGCAAAAAAAAAAATGTGATTTGGGGGTGACTTGCTCTTTAAATTGTGAGTTTTTACTTCATATTTTAGAAATAAAAATGACGGGGGAACATATTTATGACGTCTTTTGAAACGAAATTTTCTAGCGCGACCTGCCTGCTTCACTTAAATCACTGCTTATTAAGGTCCGTCCAAAATGACCGTGGCCCACCCAAAAATGAAAACCTGGCGCCGCGCCTGTTATAAACCTCTGCAAATTGTTGTTCTTCACTTTATCAAACTCCGGCTTTGTACAGCTAATGCCGAGATGTAAAATTATGAATTGAGTCGAGCTCTTCCGTCCCTCCCTCTCCTGCTCTCCTGGAAACCCGACATCGGCTGTCAGAAGCGGGAGGTGAAGAAGGAGATGAGGCAAACAGAGTGAGTGCGACATAAAGAAACCAGACTGGTGTGGAGGTGAGCAAAACAGCTGGAAAAGTGAGGGTGTCAGTTGAACGATCTCAATAAGAAAAGTGTGGGTGTTGCATCCCCCACATCCCCCACGGGTGCGACGCCCATGGGTAAAGAAATAACTGTCATGAGTTTAACCTAACTTCAACTTGTCCTTGTGTCTGGTGCAGGTGACGATTTCCTTGTCATATCAAACATTACTGATTACCATATATATAAATCAATGTAATACTTCATTTCATTTCAATGATTCAAGCACAGATCAAAGAACCTTATTGATTTAAGCACAGATTAATCAAAACATTATTATTATTATACGAATGATTAACTCAGATAAGCTGAAGCAGTCCTATTATTAACAGTCCCGTCCAGCCTAGATAACGAGGCAGGCTTGGCACAGAAGGGCCTTGAGAAGGGAACAGTATTGTTGACACTTTAACATGTATTCCGAGCTGCGGAGAGCCTGGGCTGATGGAATAGCAGGATCCTGCAGATTAAAAGCAAAACATGCAGACTCCTGTCTCCATGTCGACCAGATATTGAAGGGGTCAAACTGTACATGAAAACTGACCATTACTGGACATTACAGCCCTCTGTTGTCCTGTCAGGGAATTATTTTGCAACAATCCCCAGTTGATGGAGAAAAACGATCTGAGAGCAAAACGTCTCTGTCAATGCGTCGCGGAGCTGACGGAGAAGTATAAATTAGGCTTAAAGGAAAAGAAAATGGCCTATGTCTGAATTTCTGAGAGTCATTTAGCTGAATGTTGATGTTTTAGCTGCTATGAGGTCTTCTCTGTATTCAGTGTTGCAGTACTCTCTCCAGAACTGCATGTTGACTAACATTTAATAACACAACTTATTCCCCAAAGCGTTTGACGTTTATTAGCACACAATGAAACGCTAATATTGAGCTTTAGGTCATGTAACTAGCATACGTCATGCCTGTCAGTCCCATAAAGAATGAGCATAAGCTTGTATCTCGAACTATATGTGTTGGTGGTGGTCAGAGGGGCCGACGGCGCCAAATGGCAGCCTCGCCTCTGTCAGACCGCTCCAGAGTGGCTGTGGCTACATAATAGCTTACCATCACTAGGGATGCACCGTTGGATCGGCATTTGATCGTAATCGGCCGATAGCGCCCCTGTCGGTTTTGATCGGAGTTTTCAAAATAGATCAAAGCAGACCGATCAGGTAGGGTTGTCACGGTAACCAGTGTAGCGGTAAACCCCGGTAAAAAAAGTTGACAATAATAATAACCGTCTTGTTTTTAAAAAAACATATTATCTCTGTGGGTTTACCGTGGCTGCGGTGTAGGCGTGGTGACCCTTACCAGCCACCGTATCATCTGCTGAAGTTGCCGGTGTTCTGCCGCATGCGCGCTTTGTTGTTTACGACCAAAACTTTCTTGAAGCTAAAGCTGAAATAATGGCCAAAGGAGGAGACGGCAGCGCTCAGGAGGACATGTTTTATCCCTCAAAGAAGACCAAGTCGGAAGTACAGGCATCTTTTGGATATCTGAAGAATGCAGAGGGAGTTGATAGAAGACGGCTATCCTGTTTGCAGCATGTGCCGAAAAAGTGTCTGTGAAAGGCAGCAACGCTTCAAATCTCATGACACATCTGCGTGACCATCACCCACAACTCTACAGTCAACACAAGGCAAGCTAACTTTAGCATTTTAGCTAAAATGCGTGGTCCAAGGATTTGGGTTGAGGGAGAATGCAACGAGTGGCTATATAAAGCAGCCGCAGCGCCGCTACCTGCATATAAACCGTGTCGCGGACACCCCCATGTTGAAATGACGCTATGCATTACGGGGCTCCCAGAGGCAGATAAGAGTTGGTCTCTCTCCGAGAATAATTATGAATTTAACAATGATTACTGCCCGATGACATTTTCCCCACATCTGCAAAGCTCACTGGAAGGACACAAACCGAGGACAATATTTTCCTGATATAGGGTTTATTACTCAAGTAAGGGTAAAAAAGTATCTGATTAGAAGGCTACTTGAGTACTGAGTATCATCTGATCTAATATTTTTAAAATGATGACATCAAACAGACATAAAATAAGAAGTTATGGGCAAATATTGGTATTTTAAAGACTAAAGGGGAAACATGTAAGCAAATAAACAACATAATTACAAAATAACACATTTTAGGCAAAATTTAGACACAAACTGAGGACAATATTTCCTGACATACAGGGTTTATTTAATTGTGTGAAAATGTAGCACGTTTAAAAAAAATACCGCGATAATACCGAAAACCGTGGTAATTTTGGTTAGATTTTCACACCGTGACAACCCTAATACATACCATTTTAGATTAGGTTACATTTCCTTTATTCCCAGATTATGTAGTTTGTAGCACTCATGATAATGTTGTAGAAAATTTCTGGCCAATCCACGTGATCGGTATCGGTGATCGGTATCGGTGATCGGTATCGGTGATCGGTAGCAAAAAACCTGATCGGTGCATCCCTAACCATCACTGGCAGTGTGTGAATGCAAGCGCCTTTGAGTGTCCTAATAAAGCGCTATATAAGTTCGATGATGATGATGATCATTATTATTATTATTATTATTATTATTATTACTATATTTACAATCTGTGTGGTTACATTGGTGTTGACTCAGCTCCGTGGCGACCCTCCTGTACGGTGACGGCAGTCCCTCCCAGGCTGTGAGTTTGCCAGACTGCGGCCCTGTCCCCCAGTCCCCCCCAGCCCTCCTGCCAGCCTCATTGGATTGGGCCCTTGAGGAAAAGGAACTACCAGATCCCTATGCTTCTGAGGTACTTTTATTCCACTCTTGTTTATTAATGCTGTGATTAACACGCTACACGTGTTGTGAGTTTTGAGCTTTAAACATGAATTTGCTTCGTGCCTGTTTCTATCAGATTAGATGTGTGCCAGTAGGATCAAGAAAAACACTTTGAAGATCAAACAAATATTAAGACATTGAGAGAAAAAGAAACATGTTTCAAAAGTAAAACTTACTATCTGAATCAACTTCTTAAAATGAGTAACAAAGTATGTTTCCTTTTTCTGTTTGCCTCTATGTGTTTTTGTTATCAATTTCCTTAGTTTCGTTCTCGCTGCTCAGAGCTTTGCTCTCACTACCAGATTTGCACTTACACTGTCTGGCTTTCTCCTTTGCAATCCCTGAGTTTTTGGTTGCAATTCTGACACAACCCTTTCGGGTGGGTGGGACTTCTAAGAAGTCCTCTCCCATAGGACAGTGGTTTCTCTTGAGTGAAAGTTCAGTGACCTGGAAGTGATGTAGCCTCCAAGACATTTTTTTTTTCCAGCTGGTCAACAACATGAATTTTGAGCCCCAAACACATCATTTCTGCTGTCTGTGGTGTCTACTGAGGATCTAAAGTGAGTATTGATAATATATTTTATCTTTTCTTAGTTAATCTTTAAGTTAAGCCACTTTTTAAGTTGGTTTTAACCAGACGTTAGCTCACTAGCTAGCTGCTAAGCAAGCCATTGTGCTAGCCTCAGGACAATGGTCTATTGTTCCAGAGAGACGTATTAAAAACTCATCTTAACATATTCATTACTGGTTTCATGGAATTAATTATTGCAGTTTATGTTAATAAGTTTGCAAATTTTTCAGGAACCTGTGGAACATCAGAGACTTTGCAGCTACTGGAGCTAACCTGTGTACAGCTAACTTGCTACAGAGGAAGCAGCAGAAAGCTGAGCTAACAGGCTGTTTTGCAGGTAAATGCTCTTTTAGTGGAACTGCAGGATTTTTATGGTATAACTCAGACAGAATTTACATGAGCTTTTGTGGGAAGACATTTAAACTACATTTATATACAGATACATGTATTATTTATTCCATGTTACATGGACGGGCTAAACAAGTTCATAGTTCTGCCTGCTCCTTTTTCAGTGAAACAAATGGATTATATGATGTAACTCTGACTGAATGATTATCTAAGTGAGTATGTTTGATAATAAATTTCTTTCCAGTATACAGATCTGCCATTTGTTTGTCAGAACAGGACACATCAGATTCAATGTGCTTTCTGCCACGTGTTCTGTATTCTCCATCAAAAGAATGTTATTCAGGTCAGATAATCAATATTGAGTTAAATACATGCTTTTGATTATATTTTTGTCTAAAAGCTATTTTTTTTATTCTTTTCTTTCTTTTTAGATTGAAAACTACTGCATTGCATTACAATGGAAGTGCTACACGGCCACATGCATCAACTGCAGCTGGTGAGCTAAGACACACATAGTGTACACAAAGTACACTGCAGACAAGGTATGTAAGAAAATATCAATATGACAATATGTTGCGATATATTTTCCCAGTGATATTGTATCGATGTTCTCAAACTGTATCTCTAAAATATCGATATGGCAATATATCGTGATATTTTTTCCTGAGATATTACATCCATTTTCAAAAGCAGTGTATCTAATTTTTGGAAGAATTTACATGCAAACATTTGTGTATTTTCTTTGTTTTTGGTGCACTTTAAATGTCGACCGCTAGTTGGCAGCAATATGCATTGGGTTTTGTTTCCACCATTGAAATTTAAATCTTGCTATTATGGTTCAGATAACTCATGTTAAACATGTTAAGTATCAGTTTGGACTGTTTATTGAATATTCCTACAATAAATTCAGTCAAAAATACACATCCCTACTGCAGACCAATCCCACCTCATGTATTTCATAGGCTGTATAATAAACCCACAGTGATGGTTATGGATAAATATCTGTACTAATGGTAATCTTTTTCCATTGTTTCCAGTTGACAAGCATATGGACCTATTGTTCGAGTCTGTGGTGGTGGATGCTCTATCATATCAGGAGTCTAAGTACCTGTGCCTGAACCTCTCTGTGTCTAGTTCAAAAGACCTGCTGTAAGCAGGCACAGGTTAAGATTTTAAAAGAACCTGCAAGGTGAGCAACACAACAGAATATGAATCTTTATTATTATTGTACGCTGTACAGCTAGAGCAAACTTGCATGCTCAGAAGCCACATATGATTACATCGCCTACAGGTTGCCTGATGCTGAACTTCAGGCAGCTGCGTGTGACTGTACTCCCGTGGAACAACCACCTGTCAGGAGTTTGGGTCGGAGTCCTGGGTTTGTGTTCCCTTTAATCTCTTCATTAGCCTTGCTAGTCACCATTGCAGAGCACCATGGAGAGGCTTACCTGAAAACTCTTCTCATGGGGCAGGCACATCGTCACACTCCTGTAACCCCATCCTTGAATAAAAGCTGGTAGCTGGTCACTCATCAGAGTGTTTTAACCCATATCTAGCCCATGACTCTGCCGTTTTTCAAACTTACATTCTCATTTTCTTAGCAGATCTATGGAAATTATTTCCTTGAAGCTCCTGATCACACAACCATACTGGCAGTCGGCTTACCCACTACCTTCTGCTCACCCGCTTGCAACTCATGCTGTCATTCTCCCAGACTTCTGGTTGTTTCTCCACCATTCTGCTGTCTCCCGTCTGCGCTACAACTTCAGACCGTAAGTACCTAAACGTTTCCTTTTGTAAGTCATTCTTTAGTCATTACTAACACTCAATTTTACCTCAGGGCCTTCTGATCTTTAAACACTAAAACCTGTTGCTCCATCTCTGTGGCGTTTCTCAGTCTCTGTAAGCTACCTGCACAGTCTAAGAAAAACCTGACCTGTTGCCTTTTACTAACCTCTGCTCTTCCTCGCAGAAGCTTCTGGTTCCTGATCTCCAGCAATTACCTCTTCAGTCATCCGTCAAACATTTAAATAAACTGTCTTTAGCTCATTTGTCTCCTGAGTTTCTCTGCATGAAGGTCAGGTTTTTGCAAAAGTCATGACATTAGCAATTATTTTGTCCCACTCTGTCAAACAGCTCATATTAATTTCAAGTGTGTCTTTAAAAATACATTGAATGTCAACGTGAATGAAAGGCATCCATTCAGCTTTCAGTGTCTAATGCAGGATTTTATGGACAGGCACCAAAACAGGAAATTTATAAATTGAGATTTATTTACTAAATCAGGTAAACCAAAATAAAACACTAATGTTTAAAGTCCAGAGGAGGGAGGAAGGCTTCATAGCAGGGGTATTCAGTTCTAGTCCTGGATGGCTGGTATCCAGCACGTTTTAGTTGTTTCCCTGCTCCAACACACTTGAATCAGTGGTTGAATTACCTGTGCAGCAGCTATGGGTTGTCTCCTCTCTGCACTAGAAAAATGTACTTTATTATAATGTTCACTGTGATGCATCTTGATGTTGAAAAATAAATTAAATCAAAGGTATTGGTCAATAATGCCAAATATGTAAATTTGTGTTTCAGTCATTTTTATACTGGCTTAAAAATACTTCATTATTTCTACTAAGCAGGGGTGTAGAATGCTTTTAATAGGACCAGCCCAGTAATGATCTTGGACCAAAATAAAGGGGGCAGAAAGTCAAATAAAGGGGGACAAAAAAGGGGGGCAAAAGATGTTTTTCCAGACGCCAAGAAAAATTAAATGCCAAATCCCCCCTGCAAAGTGTGTCACTGAGAGTTTAAAACAGAAATTATTCTTGTGCAAATATTGGTGTGTTCACCTTAAATACTAGTTATTAAAATGCAGCAGTTGCTGGATTGGTGCTATTCAAAGTGGAGTGCATCACATAAAGCAATATTGACATAAAGGTGAGAAGTGTCATAATTTCTTCACCCCCCCCCCCCCCCCCCCCCCCACACACACACACACACACACACACACACACACTCCCCCACCCCCAGCACCACCACAGCTGGAAAGATCCCTAGGGCAAACACTGTATAGTTACTATAGATTTTATTAGATTTAATGAAGGCATCAGCTGTGACATAGAAATTGGTGTGTGTTTATGTATGTATTAGGTGTGACGGAAAAAGAAGAGGGTTGTAATTATTCTGATGCCAAACAAGCTTGTAAAATACAAATGCTTGTGGTGTATTACCTAGATCAGTGCTTCCCAACTATCTCTAACCAGTACCTCACAAAATATATAATTTTGTTTTATCCATTGTTTACATTTAGTGTCCCACTTCCTCAAGTGCTTATGTGACATCTGTTTCACTTCAGAAATGTAAAAAAGTGGTATCAAATGTACGGTTCATACAAACTTATGTAATAAAAACATCAGAGATGGATCTGATTTAGGGTGACAGAAAGCACATAGAATCTGATGTGTCCTGTTCTGACAAACAAATGTCAGATCAGTATACTGGTAAGAAATTTATTATCAAACATACTCACTCAGATAATTATACTGTCAGAGTTACATCATATAATCCATTCGTTTCACTGAAAAAGGAGCAGGCAGAACTATGAACTTGTTTAGCCCGTCCATGTAACATGGAATAAATAATACATGTATCTGTATATAAATGTAGTTTAAATGTCTTCCCACAAAAGCTCATGTAAATTCTGTCTGAGTTATACCATAAAAATCCTGCAGTTCCACTAAAAGAGTATTTACCAGCAAAACAGCCTGTTAGCTCAGCTTTCTGCTGCTTCCTCTGTAGCAAGTTAGCTGTACACAGGTTAGCTCCAGTAGCTGCAAAGTCTCTGATGTTCCACAGGTTCCTGAAAAATTAGCAAACTTATTAACATAAACTGCAATAATTAATTCCATGAAACCAGTAATGAATATGTTAAGATGAGTTTTTAATACGTCTCTCTGGAACAATAGACCATTGTCCTGAGGCTAGCACAATGGCTTGCTTAGCAGCTAGCTAGTGAGCTAACGTCTGGTTAAAATCAACTCAAAAAGTGGCTTAACTTACAGATTAACTAAGAAAAGATAAAATATGTTATCAATACTCACTTTAGATCCTCAGTAGACACCACAGACAGCAGAAATAATGTGTTTGGGGCTCAAAATTCATGTTGTTGACCGAGGTGGAAAAAAAATGTCTTGGAGGCTACATCACTTCCAAGTCACTGAACTGTCACTCAAGAGAAACCACTGTCCTATGGGAGAGGACTTCTCAGAAGTCCCACCCACCCGAAAGGGTTGTGTCAGAATTGCAACCAAAAACTCAGGGATTGCAAAGGAGAAAGCCAGACAGTGTAAGTGCAAATCTGGTAGTGAGAGCAAAGCTCTGAGCAGCGAGAACGAAACTAAGGAAATTGATAACAAAAACACATAGAGGCAAACAGAAAAAGGAAACATACTTTGTTACTCATTTTAAGAAGTTGATTCAGATAGTAAGTTTTTTCTTTTGAAACATGTTTTTTTTCCTTTAGCCAATATTTTTGTTCTGTCAATTTCTTAATTTTTGTTTGACTGTCAAAGTGTTTTTCTTGATCATTTTAAGAATCTGATTCAGATTGTATGTTTTTCTTTTGAAACCAATGTTTTTTCTCTCAATGTCTTAAAATTTGTTTGCTCTCCAAAGTGCTTTTCTTGATCCTATTGGCACAAATCTAATCCCATATATTTCCTTTACTAAACAGTAGGGATGCACCAATCCCAGTATCGGCCCAACAGTGTGTGTGTGTGCGTGTGTGTGTGTGTGTGTGTGTGTGTGTGTGTGTGTGTGTGTGTGTGTGTGTGTGTGTGTGTGTGTGTGTGTGTGTGTGTGTGTGTGTGTGTGTGTGTGTGTGTGTGTGTGTCGTAGCTTTCACAAATTACTTGTTAGCAGAGCTCACACGGTTTGTGCTGCAGCAGTCATGTTAACGGGACTCGCCTGCTGGAGTCCAGAAGTACCGGTGCAGTTCTAAATGGATTTATAGATGTAGGCTATTATTTTAGATCAAACCTATGTTAGTTAAAAATATGTGTAGGACGCGGGCATATGGCTCAGACCTTTAGCTGCAGCTGTAAACGCAATTTTCTGTTTTAATTAGGAACACGATAGTAAACAAAATACAGTGATTTACCATGCTAGCAACAGCAGCTACCTAGTATGATGTAAGTGAGTGACGTATGCAAAACACGGTTCTTCGCTGCCTGGAGGAGAGAATTTTGATTTTCTGTAATGATTTATGACTAAATTCCTTAACAAAATGAAAAACTGAACCCAGTTCATATTTATATAGATGGTAAAGTGTAGTTATACTGTATTTCTACAATTTTAATGCTGAGTCTAGCTACTACCTTTAAAATGAACTGGCAAACACCCAGATGGGCTTTGTCTATGTGGGTGATCTGAAACTGTGACACTTGTCTTATGTAAGTTATTCTTCTAAGGGTCGACCTGTTAGTTAGTAGTTCTATAAAATCTTAATACACTAAAGATGTGAGCATTTTATTCCAGAAAAAAATCCTAATGAAATAAAACAATTTAACAATGGCAGGGGTGAGGAGTGAGCACCACCTCACCCCCTGCCACGTGGACCTCAAGGGATAAACCGTCAATCCTGCTCAATGGTCAACTTTCCTCGCAAGGTCACCCATAAAGACAGTGGGAGGGTTAAATTATTTATAAGGAGAGGAATAGCGTTTGTTAGTACTTCAATCAGTACTTGGCATCGGCATATACACAAAGTTAGTACTTGTATTCGTACTTGGCTGTGTGCATTTACCCCAACTAAACAATAATGAATAATACTTTACTGTCTTCACAGATTTTGCGATTGCGCAGTGGAGGATTGACACTGGAGCAAATAGGAAACAGAATTGCCACCGCTATTAAACAAGTAAAGAAAACTCCTCGTTTCTCATTGTGTTTTGCTACCGGCTGTAAAGTAAATGAAAGCCTGTAATGATGGAGACTGGCACGTGACGTGTCTTTTGTCTTTAACGATTAAATGTGGAGTCAGAACTCACTAAAGCGTACTGTGTCTGGTTTCTATTTCATCTCGGATGTGAATGTCCCTCCAGCCACTCTTATCTGTCTGATGCTATACCAGGTTGTTCTTTCCAGCGCTAACTTGGTTTGTTTACATTCCTAGGCCACCATACCCCACTGGCAGGTCCACACTGAGGCAGCTCTGTTTTGGCAGGCAAAAGGCAACGGAAGCCATGCCTTGCAATGCCTGCGTCAAGTGTTGAGTACAGTTCCGCCTTCCCAACGCCACGTGCCCCTCACCAATGCTGCTAACCTGCTGCTGCACCACAGCTTGACTACCCATGCACAAATGCTGCTGGAGCATGCCATGGCACTTAATGCATCAGAGGTAAAAGAACATTGGATCATAAACTTTTAGTCTTTTAAAGCTGAATGCACTGTAAGAAAAAGAAAAACCTGGAGTCAGATATGGCTAACGCTAGATTAGCTCATTTTAATTTTGGGGTATTTTCTCTACTTCACACCCTCACTCACTGATGGGGTTCTCCAACAATCTACACGCTTTCATTAAAGACGCCACAATTACATTTTTGAGGTTTAAGCAGTCTAGTCAGACCTAATCTCAGTTTCTCTAAACTGAGGTCATTCAAATGGCTATCTAAACCTGATTAGATAAAAAATTAAACACATTCCAACAGACCTGATCTATCACCATAAGACTGAATTTATTCCCAACCTCAATTCCAATGTATTTCCAGCAAAGTGCTGTAGATTTAGTAAAAAATAGTTTCAAAAGGAACATTCCTAAAATGTTTTTCCCAGAAAAAAGAATAAACTCCTAATTAAAGGACTAACAGACCTTGTTTGCTTCAGTTTTTACAACTCGATCATAAAATACTAGATCTTTTTTTCATGAATTTTGATTATTTTTATGTTTTTTGTTTTATTTTTTTATGTCACATGATTGATTACTAAGGTTTCTGCCCCCATCCACCATTATACTATATGCAAAATAAGTTCAGTTATTTTATTCTAGTGGGAACTTTGAACTTGAGCACATTAATAGATGGAATAATAAATGCAAATATCTCAAAATGCTCTTGAAAATGAAGACATGCAAAAGGACAAGTGTGGACAAAAATAGGTCCTGTTTGGGCAGCAGTTACCAACTTTAAGAGAACTTTTGCTACTTTTTTTGTACATCTGTGTTTGTGATCATTTTTGTACATTTGCAGTGTCTGGGTGTTGAGTGTAATCTGAAGTTGTTAAAATCTGCTCCTCAGTTTAGTAAACAGTGGGTTTGGTCAAAGGGTTCAGTAGGGTGAGATGGATATTCACAGATTAGCACTTCTTCTATCAAAACATCCAATCCAATAATTAAACTCTAACTCTGTCTCACTCTAACCACAGTGAGCAGATCAACACCCTGCATTATCATCCCATTCAAAATAACATGCCCCTTCTGATAGGGATGCAACAATACCACTTTTTTTCCAAACCGATACGATACTGATACTTGGATCTGATTATTCGCCGATACCGATACCGATACTTCTACCACACAAAAAATGCAATGACTTGGAAAACAGATTTTATTTTCTTCTGTGCTTTCAACAGGAAAAGACTGTGAGGTAGTTAAAAAGTAAAATATGTGAATGGAAATCATCATAAAACTAAACTATTAGGTGAACAGAAATGACAAGTTACAGTGAAGCCGCTTTCAAGCAACTGCATTGGTATCGGTGAACTTTTACCGATACCAGTATCGTATCGGTGCATCCCTACCTTCTGATAATATTGGTTTCAGCATATACTTGGGTCCTTAGGGACTTTTCATCTTATTCTTCTCACTTTAAAACCAGTGAAGACCTGCTGCATAGTTTTTGCTGTCTTTTGTTAAAAAACTGCAACCAAATGCAACACATTGCTAGCCTGGCAAGCATCCTATATACTGTATGGGAATATATAGTCTGGCCATAACCCATAGACAGCTCAGTCAGGGGGCTAGAATCTACGCTTGTCTTTCAAACGGTCTGCACATGCTGAAACCAAAAACGTAACATACTCATTGATGTTTGTCAACAAGGTTGTCTACCATACTCTGATAAGGAAGATGCAAATACATCTGTTTTTCTAAATACAAGACCTAAGTACCTCTACCTGCTCTTGACTCAAAGAAAAGTCGAAATACTCTAAACTGAGCCACCTCCATTTTTGTTATTTGCTTAGTCGCAGTAACATTTCACCTACCAAACTGATCAGGAGCGATCAGGCCATTGGTAGACCTGATAATACAATGGAGTGTGGCTAGAACAACCGTTCTAGGCTAGCACATTGAGCATTCTCTATATTTCTTTGAACACTAATAGAAAATCTAGTAAAAAAAAAATGCATCCCAAAAAGTTTCTCCCAGAATGCATTTCTCAAGTAAAATAATAGCTTAAGTTAAAGGGCACACATAGGTAGGAGTTTTCCTGTGTCACAGTGACCATTTTAAGTAGGGATGTAAACACACTTTAAAGTACTACTGGTTGTTTTTCTCACTCCAAACTGGCCATACATGCTTGTTTGGGTGGTTTTATTATTGCAGAGCAAACAAACATCTGCTAAATAATTTTTGTCAGTTTTCACGTTACCCATTAGCTAATTTTCTGCTGTCTTGTTTTGTTTTCTTTTCTCTCAGCCTCACACCCTTCTCAGCCTCGTGAGCTTGCATTTGGCCCAGAGCAACGTGACAGGTGCTCTGGCTTTGTTCCGCCACATTCTGGAAGTGACCCTGTCCTCCCCTTCCTCCTCCTCATTTGCTGACTGTGAACAATGTCAAAGCAACCTGCCTTTGCTACGCTGTCTGCAGTTCTACCCGTCTCTTTACAATCTCTCCCACAGACAGTCTTGCTCACGTGAGTAACTTCAGACTCACACACGAATCATTTGAATTATTTTACCTCAATTTTTAAAAAGATATTCAACCTTAACCCTCTCAGGCTCAAAATAAGTTTTGATAAAAGGATGAACAACTAAGTCCTTCAGGGGTACTTCTGAGTTAAAAAATATTGCTCATGAAATATGTATGTGGAGTAACCAGGTAGGTAGGTTTTAATGTTGCAAATCTGCAACGCCTGCCTCCAGAGGGTGTGTATTTTTCCTGGTAATAGGGGGCAGTACATACCTAAATCATTGCAAGCAAGCAGTATTTTTGTGTTGGAGTAAGACCTTACCAACAAATGCACAAAAAGGGTCAAAAAGGCCTGGAGAGTGCAAACTTTAGCAAAATAACAAGCACATCAGACTTCCTTTCATCACTGTCCAAAAGTGAAGAGGTAAATGTGTACAACAACAACATTTAAGAATAGCGAAAGTTTTGTAACTGTTTGTTACAAATTAAATGCATTTTGTCCTCATGGGCTCCCGTAGAAGGAAACATGGCATCTAATATGGCATCGCCCAAAGACTTAGATCCACTCCCATGTATTTTAGACCTGATTTTTATGGTTATATGTTATGAAGCAGGCAATATTTTTCAACAACTGGGCATCATTTCATTCATTTTCAACAACATTTAAATGGATATTTCCAGAAATTAATAGTAAAAAACTACACATTGTCTCTTTTAGTGAAATGTAGTCTGTTGCCATATTCCCCAGAGTGAGATAGGAGAGAAAACTAATTTCATAACCAACCCAGTCATTCTCCTAATCTGGCAGTATTCTGTTAGCTTTAGCTTAGCATAAACAAAGCAATCCTCTTGCAAAGGCTTACGTCTCGGCCCAGCCGCTCCGGTCATCACAGGATCGTCGGCTAGCAGTGCCTACACCACGCTCAGGACAATCCAGACTCTTCTCATGCATCGTTCCACAAATGTGGAATGACCTTCCAAGCACTACCAGAACAGGGGCTTCCTTTTCAATTTTCAAGTAACTCCCGGAGACCCTGATCTTCAGAGAGCATCTTCTAAACTAGCACCCTCCCTGCACCCGTCCCCCTCTCTACTGTCCACTCCTTGTTCCCTCCTCTCCATGATTCATCATGCTGCCTCACTGCCACCTAGGACTGACTGGAAATTGTTTGTTGTTGTTACTGTTGTTGTTAGCCTCAAGGGCAACATGCCGATTATCACTTGTAAGTCGCTTTGGACAAAAGCGTCTGCTAAATACATAAACATAAACATAAGTGAACGCTAGAATTTAATGTAAAAAAAAAAGTAATGAAAATGAATCAATAATGAGGGTCCAACTCGATTCTAGGAAGGTGTACCCAATAAAGTGACCAGTAAATGTATATAGCACTTAATAAGTAATGTTTATTTGAATAGCACACCTCACATAAATTAAAATGACTAAGTGCTTCACAAAGAGCAACAAAACAACCTATAAAGTCATGAAAGGATCATAAAAACAAAACGACAAAATGCCATAAAACTAATGGAAAATAATTAAAGAAGAAGAAAATATCATTTCTATAGCGCCTCTCAAGATAAATATCACGAGGCGCTTCACAAAAACAAAAAATGTATAAATATAAAAAAGCATTTAGAAAATGTTTAAAAATATATTTAAAATGAACAAAATAGGCAATTGTGATTAAAAAATGTTAAGAAAGAGAGAGAGTGAATAGGAAAGAGGGAAATCAATGGATCCTGAGGAAGGTGGAATAGGTGGGGAGAGCAGAATAAAGAGAGAGTGGTGAAGTAGATCATACAAAAGCCACTTTGAACAAGTGAGTCTTCAGCTGCTTTTTAAAGGAGACCACTGAGTCCACTGATCTCAGGCTCAGGGGGAGAGAGTTCCAGAGTCTGGGGGCCACAGCAACACATGATCTGTCACCTTTGGTCTTTAGCCTGGTGCGCTGCACAACCAGTAGGCTTTGATCACTGGACCTTAGGGAGCTGCTGGGGGTGTAGGGACTAAGATGATCACCAATATAAGATGGTGCTTGTCCATGTAAGACCCTATAGACCAGAACCAGGATCTTGAAATGAACCCTGAAGTTGACTGGCAGCCAGTGAAGCTGGAGGAGAAGCGGGGTGATGTGGGTGTGTTTGGAGGACTTGGTCAGAAGCAGAGCACAGGCATTCTGACCCACCTGTAGACGGTTCAGGGAGGTTCTGCTCAGACACGTGAAAAGAGAGTTACAGTAGTCTAAGCATGAGGAGATGAAGGTGTGGAGAACAATCTCAAGTTCAGAGCGGGATAGAATGGGACTCAGCTTAGCAATGTTCCTGAGATGGAAGAAGGATGAGCGAACAAGAGAACTGACATGAGAATCCAGGGTGAGAGCTAGGTCAAAGGTCACGCCAAGATTCCTGACAGAAGGTTTGGTGTGAGAAGCAAGCTGACCAAGAGAGTCTCTGACTTTGGGAACCAGCTTGTCTAGGGCACAGATGAGGATCTCAGTCTTATCTTCATTCAGCTGAAGAAAGCTCCCAGCCATCCAGGCTTTGATAGTCTAAGCAGGTGTGTAACAGCTGCAGCTTAGAGATCTCATGGCGCTTAAAAGAGATGTACAGTTGGATATCATCTGCATAAAGATGGTAGGAGATTCCTTTGAAGGAGCTCAGGATGTGCTGAAGAGGAAGCAGATAGAGGAGGAAGAGCAGAGTCCCCAGCACAGAACCTTGTGGGACACCATGGGTAAGAGAGGTGAAGTGAGAAAACAAAAGATTTAAGTAAAATCAGTTTTAAATAAAAGGATAATGGATGTGGTTAAATGTGTGGGTACTAGGCCTATACTTGGTACAGTTTTTGAAGGAACAGCATAGGTTGCATTAAAAATGGCAGCGTACATGACGGACAAAGTAGGTGTCTTTAGGTACTTCTGCACCTTGCAGCGGTGGCGTACAGAGGTGCTTTGTCCTGATGTAGTCCCAAGTCTAAATCGGCTTATTTTTGTTTCTGATATTTGCGGTCGATATGATTAATGAATAATAAGAATAATCAATATCTTTACTGAGTAATTTTCATTATTTTTTCACATGAGATGCTAGCTGTTACCATTCACTTACATTGTTAATGCTAAGCTAAAGCTAAGAGAATACTGCCAGAGTAGGAGAATGACTGGGCTGGTGGAGAGAAGTACAACCGCAGCCAGAGTAAACCCAGACAGTAAACAGTCTGCAGAGTCAAAACAAAACAAAACAAAAGTATGCAGGGATCTGGGGAAAAAGAGCAAACACATCCTCTGCGTCACAAAAGTTCTGTTTCTAGTGAGCCACGACAAAATCTGTCATGCTGCATCCCCCTCTGCCCTCTGTGCGACTAAAGTATCACAAGATGTTTGTAATTCAAAGGATTCATTTAACTGAACGGCACTTAAAGACACATATAGAAGGAAGAAGTGATGATCTGAGGAGGATTCTTTAGCCTCCTGTGTGTGTCTGGCTTCAGACGGAGGCATCTGTTTGGCTGAGGAAGAGCTTGGTATACAGCTGGAGGAATGGGAGGAGAGTGAGGAGAAACCGGATTCAGCCTCCGTTTCTGCCATGGAGGACACGCTGCTCTTTGAAAGTAAGAACAGGATTTCTGTAAGAATATTATAGATAGTATGTCTCAGGCCAGAGAAACATACTGATAGCTTAAAACATAACAAATGTCAACCCACCGACTAGTTAGTCTTATTTAAAACAAAAATCGTTTGTTGATGGCGTAACAGTTTTTTTTTTTTTTTTTGGGAAAGACTCTGTCCCAAATCAAAAACATGTCATTTCCATCCTCATGAGTTTTCTTTTGTAGGCTAACACAACTTCTCTCATTTCTCTTGTGCTTGTGCCCGTCTTCTTGACCCTTTAGAGGTCATCCTGGACAGTAATGGCTCGGGCGAAGCGGCTGCCCAGCAGCATCCGGATGCCTCCTCCTCAGGAGCAGCAAAAATGACCTCGTCCTTTGGAGACGGAGGAGTGGAAAAGGAGGAGGATTGGCAGTTGAAGGAGGACTTGATGGGAGCCTTTGAGGGAGCCCTGGATGTAGGAGGGAAACATGGGGACCTACGGGGTATCCGGGTGCTTAAGAATGACCGTGTGATGGGTGCTCGAGCAGGAAGTGGGCCATGTTTTGGAAACTGTGAGGATGATGATGGAGCAGAATGGGTAAGGGTGGAAGGTTGTGGTTTCTTAGAAAATATAATAATCAGATGCATCTTAGCTCAGCTAAATTTAGAAACGCTTTTTTGTGTTTCAGATCACCTTCCAAGTAAAGCGGGTCAGGAAAGCTAAGGTGGACGGGTCCGATCATGTTGCCGTCTCTGAAGACAGTCCGCCTGAGGAGTCACTATCTGAGGGGAATTCTGTCTTGGAGATCAGTGGTCCTACTATCCCATCTCCAGGTCCTTCAGGTAACAGAGGAAACTACCTTTTGTTTACTCACAACAGTGTGAACACAGAAAGAAGTACATGAGAGACGTTTGGTGGTGTTTGAGCAGGTCGCTGGAGAGACTATGCAAGTCTTGGATGGCCTGGACCAGAGGAGTGCCAGCGGACCCGAAGGGTGGACCTCACCACTGTAGCGAGTACTTGGCTGGCTGTTTCTGCCAAGAATATTGAGTAAGACCACCTATGTTCAAACAACCAAGCCTTTCCATTGGATGAGTATGCAGCGTGTAACGTAACAGATGCATTTCACCTGCGAGCTCCCTTCTCACAGAGAGCTTTTCAGATGAGAAGCGACAGCAAAAGCGTTCCATGCATCACCCGAAATCACCAGAGAATTTCAACACCATGCATGATTTTGGCAGTTCATGCAATAAACAAGGAGAAAGATGGCAGCTTGTCTATAATCATTTTATTTTGAAAGTTCCTAGATGTTTTACACTGCTTTTGCATTTGACTTCCTGTCTGACACATCTGACCTGCTCAGCTTCACATGTTCGGGAACGTAGCACGTCAAATATTTACTTGAAGTAACGCTGGGCGACATGGACTAAAACTAATATCACAATTTATTGAAGAGTTCTCCTCGATAACGATAAGTGCACATCAACTTCATGTACTCGCAAAAGCAAAAGTTGCTCACTAGGTGGGGCTGTCACATGCATAACGTTGAGTCACGCTGTCATGTGACTTGTAGTGGTACATCTTCTTAAAGGGACATAAATGTCGCCAACCCACACACATCTTTCGATTTTCTTGTTACCAAATTTATTTACATTCATTTATTGGGAAAAATGATATCAGAGTCAGCCACTCCTAACTTGAAGCGTAAGCGATGCATCCCAGAAGCGTAGGGACGCTTGACAGCTAATGGAAACTGCTGCTAATTGCTGTTATATGCTTTGCTGGACTTTATGTGATGCATACACATCTGGTGGAAAGGCCTGGTAGGAGTCAACTCCCAAATGCAATTTAAGCATTCTGTAGAACAGTGTATTCATCATATCTGTTTAAATATAGCACCAGTTTATGAAAGAACCATTTAAAGAAGCCATACAGAAAGAAGGAACAATGAAAGTAAGTGTTTGTTTTGACTTTGTGTTTCTGTTCTCTCCTCTCTAGCATCACTGAGCATATAGACTTTGCCACTCCTCTCCAGGAGCCAGCTGCTGAACCTCTGTGCAGTGCCAACCTGGCTGCTAGCATGCACACCCTCGACCACCTGGCAGGTGTAGCCAATCGCGCCGCCATTCACTACACTGGAGAGGGCCAACTGCGTGAGGTAGGCCGTGTACCTCTAAACAGAAAATCTAAGTCTGGATAACCCTGCTTTTATGTGGGACAAAAGTGGATTGCACGTAAAAAGTCACTTGTGTTTTTATTTAAACGTGTTTTAGTGAAGTATGAAGTCTTTGAGTCTTTGAGAGGTCCAGAGTGTAGGCTGTAGTAGCACCAGCTGAGCTGTGGGTGTTTCATATTTTGAGTTTGAGGAAAATCAATGTTAAACAAACCATATTTAGACTGTTTTTTTAAAAAAAACTGTTTTCTTTGTGTTTCTGCCTCCTTAAAGGTCCTGCAGAACCTCGGCAAAGATAAATTCTCCCCCCAGTCCTTTGAGCAAGTAGGCACTCGCATTGCTAAAGTGCTGGAGAAGGTGAGGCGTCTAAGGAGGTTCATCAGTTTAGAAATGCTTTTACATTCTAATTACCGTATTGACCCGAATATAAGACGAGGTTTTTTTCATTGAAAATAATTTTAAAATGTGGGGTCGTCTTATAATCGGAGTCTTATGGGCTCGACACACGGGAGGCGACATTGCCTCTCCTCCATTTTCAATGAGACATGCACGACAAAGCGATAATCGCGGGTCTCCCTCCTACCAAGCGAAACGCGAAAAACGTGCGTGTGAAATTTTGCGCTCGTGCACGTGTCGTGCACGGACGACCCAGCGACGCGATCCCAGAAAGTTGAAACATTTTCAACTTTTCATCGCTGTCGCTCGGACGACGACCAATCAACGGAGGTTTCATTCACTGACCAATAAGCGGACAGGATGCTCCGCACATCTCCGAGCAAACATGGAGGAGAAGTTGATTATTAGTATGTTTTATGTAGTAAAATCAGAAGTAAGATTTCACATAACTCTAGCAGCATCTTGTGAAACATCATATCTACCACTTTATAAACTCTGAACCGCTTAAATAACCTTAATACCCTCCAACCTGACACAGCCAAACTAAACAACGGAAGTTTCGATTTCACCATGGAACTGAACGCGTAGACGGCTTTGCCGCTGCCGCGGATCGCCTCCCGTGTGTCAGGTAATAAAAGCGACGGCGACAAATTTCGCTGATCGCGGTCGTTTGTCGCCTCCCGTGTGTCGAGCCCATTAAGGATTCACACATGCTGATATTTGCCTGGGGTCATTACACGCCTGTAACAGCAGAGGGCCCCAGGCTGTATGTTCTCAACAGGACAAAAGAAATGTAGACAGGGTATCCCTTAAAAAGTCTTAAATTTGCTTTTCCAAATTTATGGCCTTAAAAATCCTTAAAGAGCAAGTCACTCCAAATCAACATTTTTTGCTGATAAACTATATAAATGAGTGTCTGATTATGCTGTAGACAGATGTAGTCAGTAACTCGGCACTTTTGTGCATCTTAGTTAAAATTTAAATATTCTGCCTAAAACTGTCAGTGATGCACCGTCGTCAGGCAAAAACTCAGCACTGCATTTGAATTTAAATCTGCCAGCGCTATTGGCTAAGAGGTACACTATGATGTTAGATGGTACATTATGATGTCACAATGTCGTGAGTGTGTGTATTTGTTAGCAGCTCCGCCCTCTCGGTCTGCTAAGCAACAGCATTTGTTGCATTTTTCAAACAGGAAGTGGGAGTTGAGTAAGAATCGGGCAGGGGATGAGTTGCTCTTTAAAAATGACAAATAATCCTTAAATAGAGTTTCCGAAGGTCTTAAATAACCAAAGACCCAATAAACAAGATTCTTTTATTTCTATAAAAATTTTTTGAATTTCTAGTTAGTGTTCAGCATTTTTGTGAATGGTATTGGCGTAAGCGGAACCGTACACATTCAGTTGGTTGTGAAAGGGGGCTATTTTTAGATGAGCACATTAGCTGGTTAAGCTAGCGGGAGCTTGCGCCATGGGGAATTGCAAGTTTAATGGTAGCTGGATGGCTAATCCCATGTTCGCGACATGGTTAGCACCGGTTCCAGGCAATAGCTGGAAATTATAGCTTAAATGTAATTTAAAATATTGCTTAAATTTGGTCAAAGTGGCCTTAAAAGGGTCTTAAAAAGTCTTAAATTTGGCTCCCTTAAACCTGCAGATACCCTGTGTAGACCAGAGGTCCAGAGCTGAGTGGACCGCAAGTGGGCCAAGTTAACAAGTTATAAGGCAGAGTTGTGCCAATTGTAAGATGACAGTGGTCAATTCAGCAGAGGCGTCAAACATTACATGCATGGATTCATTGGATGGCAGTGAGAGTGATGTTCTGGGAGGAGTCAGCAGGTGTAATGATCTGATGGTACACCGGGCAGCAACAGCATGAGTGAGAATGAGAGTGAGTGAGTACAGTGAGGCAGAGGGCATCTGAATAAAAGCCTCATTTGACTTTTGATTTCACATGTGAGCAAAGTTCTGATAGTTTACATTAAAATAGTATTTTCGCTCAGTATTTGTTCTCAAATTTTCAATAAAAATTATTAATTGAAAAGGTGATTTTTTTTTTTTTTTTTTTTTGTCTTTTCCTGAAGGTTAGTCTTGGAAAGGGGGCTTGTCTTATAATTGGGGTCAATACTGTATTTAGATTTAACCAGACTAAAAACTGCAGTCTCTTTTCTTTGGGTGTCTTTTCATTGTAAACATTTTTTATTTATAGTAAATGGAAAAAAAAACAGGTTTTCTGATTGAATTAAGTTTTAGTTGGAAAACAAAGGCAAGCCTGCTGTTTATTTAAATATGCCGCTGCAGTGCCATCAGAGCTCAAGAGTAGTAATTCATTACATTTTTACATGTTTCTCCTCCATTCTCCCTGAAACTGTAGAACCAGACATCCTGGGTGTTATCCAGCATGGCCGCCCTGTATTGGAGAGTGAAAGGCCAAGGCAAGAGAGCCATCGACTGCCTAAGGCAAGCCCTTAACTACGCCCCTCATCACATGAAGGTAAGTCAGACACACACCGTACCATCAGCACTTCGTCTCATTATAATTTATACACATCAGGAAGAAAAACATGTTTCTTCCCCTCTTGAATCGTGAAACAGGACGTTCCCCTCATCAGCCTGGCCAACATCTTTCAGAACGCGAGGCTATGGGAGGACGCCCTGACGGTTGCTCGTATGGCGGTAGAGATTGCCCCACATTTCGTTGTGAACCACTTTACTCTGGCAAACGTCTATATCGCTATGGTAACAAGCAAATTCCGATTAGTTTTTGCACGCCTTGTTGCCCAGGTTAATTCTCTAAGCAGACTCTTCATCGTGATGCTGTTTTTGTTTGACAACAGGAGGAGTTTGAAAAAGCCATGCACTGGTATGAGTCTACTCTGAAGCTCCAGCCAGAGTTTGCTCCTGCAAAAGATCGACTGAGGACCATTCAGTGTTATCTTCTCACCAAACGGGAGCGCCGTCAGCCCTGAGCCACTCAGAAGAACCCAGCGATCACCGAGTCACCGCTCAAACCCGTAGACGTTTGCACTCACTCAGATATGCTGTTATGAATCCTGCAGATAATTTGCATAAATTGAAAGTATAAGAGAATGAAAATATTGACATAAGAGTCAGGAGAATAAATATTCACTTTAATTGGGTTCCTTTGTTCCCTTTGTGGTTTGACTCACTCCCAGGAATTGGGTCTCAACTCCCAGAGTGTAAATGTAGACATTTTTGACCCCCAGCTGCAGGACCTGCTCTGCAGGAATTAGGAAGTTATGACAGTGTTTTGTTTTTGTTTGAATTTCAGATATGTAAGTAAAAGTGTTGCTTTTGAGGTTCAGATAATTCTGATTTTAACTTCAATCTGGTATAACTGGAAGCATCGAAATACAGAAATATCTTCTCATTTTTCTCCAGTAACATACAACCATTTTATAAGTAACTTATTGAAAATATTACTGAAAAAGAAGAGTATTAAGCAGTATTTGCAGAATGATAAGGATTTGGTTTGGATTGAGTGATTTTTGCCCTCAATGTTTGTGATTTTTAAAATGAATGGGAAATCTTAAGTTTTTGCACTTTTTTCTATTTTTTTTCTTTTTTTTTATCATTCCTATTTATATTGGATCTACAAACTGATTTTGCTACAAGCTAATATAAACACGAAATAATACAAATAAATTGTGCTATTACATTTGCTTCTGAACATATGAATACTCCTGAGACATGAATGGATTCATCATTGCCAGTTTCTAAGTCAGAATCTGTATTAAATGTACAGTATTAAAGGCTGCGTGTGAATTTCTGTTTCTGCATCATTTCTTTTTGTTCTCAGAGAAAAAGATTGGGTGATCTAAAGATGTAGATGTCTTTCTGATGATTTTTGCCACCAGGTTCAAACTACAAGTAAACATAAAAGTGGCCTTGAGAGGGCGCTGTTTGACTTGTTTTTGAATCAGTCTATCAATAACGCCGGCCTCTGTAGTAAGACTCAATTTGTGTTTTAATCTCAGTTAAAACTCAACAAATTGATTTCACACTTTTTAGCCGTTTTCTGCAAGAGAAATCACGTTCTAATCACGTAACGACGATGTCTGGATCCAGATGGCGTTCACAAGTCATTCTGCATTAAGTTGCATTGTGAGTTTGGTTAGTCTTAATGTTTGGGTCATTAACAAGATGTGTGCATTTCTATGAATGCTAACAAGTGCTTTTGACTTTTTTCACTTGCATCATTAAAATTAATTCTCTCCACTTTAAATACCTAATCACATGATCTGACTCGAGTTGGAGAGAAATTCTGGAGGTCAACCTGACCAGCTTTATCTTTTTAAAATTCTAATTATAACCAAATAGGGATTCCCTGAAATTCAAAATGGGTTTTATGCTTGCTACCAAATCTGCAGTATGATATCCACATGATGCAGCTCTAAACAGCCCGGTTTAAAGCCTTGGAACGGTGCTTCCGATGCAACATAAAGTAACAGATTGAACAATGTGTTCATTCACATAAAAAGGTACATCTGGATAAAATTCATGTGAGAAGACACTTTTATTTTTCCTGCAGGCATTTCCCCCCACCCTGCCTTGAAAATACTAAATCTAAAAATGACAAACATTGAACAGCTTGCTATTTTTAAAATCCCATGAAGGAGCAAGATGGTTGCAGAGGAGCTTGAGTGTATGCACAGACCCCCTTAAATAAAAGTATAGCACATGAGCGTGCAAATCAGCAGACAGAGACCCCCACCATCATCATTCCTCATCCCCATTCCCTTGGTGTACAAACCTGCTGCTGCATTGCTAATGGTTTTTATTTATTATCTCCATCTATTCCTGTGTTGCCAGCCCCCTTCTCCTTTCTGTTTTGGAATGTTTCTCAATGAATAATTGACTGGAGAGGTATTTTTGACCAACCCTGTCTTGGGTGCAGTATATAAATAGCTCATGTGCAGCAAAGCGTGCATGGATTTGTCAGGGGAGTAGGAGCTCTGTTATGTAATAGGCATGTGAGTTGGCACACCACTGAAACACTGCATTGAATGGGTGTGTGTGTGTGTGTGTGTGTGAAAGCTCTGTTCTCATTGAGTACTTTCAGAGTAATTGTATCCTCACTAGAGTGCCTTTTGGGTCTTTTGAAGCCAAGACAGATCATATTGTTAGCAAACAGGGATTTATGTACACCTAATATCCATTAAAACAATGTATTTTATTGAGTAGAATAGTTTATCCTTTACAAAGTAGCACATAAAGTTGGTGTTCTTCCATGTTTGTCCTTTCCTTTTATTCTTTCCAGTTTCCCCATAACACACACACACACACACACACACACACACACACACACACACACATATATATATATATATATATATATATATATATAAACTTACAGCTTCTTTTGCAATCCTTGTATCTGCTCCTCAAACTAGACGTTTCACGTGTGTTTGAAAGTAAATTTACTTTTAGAACTTCCTGTTTTTTTTGTTTTGTTTTGTTTTGTAGCTAAATTTTTGATGCCATCATCCACAGAGAAATTTGTTCTCCCCGTATGTAGATGCTCTATATTTAGCTTGCTGTGGCTTAATATAGAAACACTGAATGAATGCGACTGCAAGGTATTATGTAATACTAGTGAGTTTCTTACACAGACATGAAAGGCTATTTTAAAGTCACAGAGATGAGACACATTAGGAACGCTGGGAGAACAGCAGTCCAGTTCAGCGCTCATGCTAAATGTGTTCCTGTGTGGATCCGAAATACCAGAGTTGCTGCTGCATGATTTTAGAACAATTTGTCAGATTTGTCAGTGGTTTTGTTTTAGAGATCAGAAAGTGTTGTCTTTGACCACACAGTGGCTTAAATCTCCAGGTTTTGAATGCATTCACAACACAAAGTACCAACAAATAAATACACAAACAGCTAAACAAGAATACATAGTTTAAAGGCATCATTATGAGAGAATGTAGAGTCCATGCTGTGATTGTCTTTAACTGTTCAACACCTCAAGCGTACACCACACATGGAATTACTGCAACAACTAAAATTAAATTACTTAACAGTGAATGTTTTCAGCACAAATAGCAGCAGAACGGGCAAAACTGGTCATCTGACATCATCAATCCTTTGATGCAGTCGGTGAATTCAGTGCCAGGAGCAGCAAGGCAAAATAACAGCATCACACTCTCATCACACTACCTCTCTCATGCTCTACTGCTTGTGCAATTGTCTTCGTGGCTTTTAAACTCATCATCAAAAAAAAAGTTGGATGGATTTTAAACCTATCTTTTGCATCCTTTTGAGCAAGTGAGTGGGTCTCTAGAAACACTCCAAATTTGAAATGGATTAACCTATCCATTTTCTGTTGGTGTTTGGTTTTAGGAATTATGTGCCTAAAACTGTTTTTAAAATCCCCCTTTTGTGATGTCACAAATGGGTAAAGTAGAATATAACCACCTCTGGTGTATAAGAGGGAGCTGCTGCTGGAGGACCAGCATCTCAACTCTGAGCCCCTCTCAGATTTTAGAGCTTCTCAGCTTATAGCAGCCTGAGCGGAGGATAGGTGGGCATGCCCATCAACAGCTTGTTGTCAAAGTGACAGAGTCCTGAATCAACTCATTTTCGTAGGTACTGAAACTGTCAAGAATAAAACTGCTGAGATGTCATTATGTGAGAGGGATTTACTGCAACGAACTTCATGAACATGTTTGATACTGACCATAGAAATATTGTAGTGAAACTAAATATATCATAATATGTCCCCTTTAACCTGTGATCCATGTACAGAACTTCAGTTGAGACCCTTGTTTCTCACAGCTGGGGTTGTTTGTGTCCAGTCTTGTTCTTCTGAAGTCTCCATTCAACATGTTTTAGTTGTCTTCCGACTCCAACACATCTGATTAAGTGGGTAAATTACTGTTTCTGTGTCATTAGGCCCTGCAGAAGCCTGTTAATGATTAAATCCTGGTGTGTTGAAGCAACGAAACTTATAACATATGCATGATGGTGACCCTTCAAGGGCCAGGATTTGACCCCATGCTGTGGCTGTGGGGTGCTGCAGACACGCTGCTTACTCTGAATGGTTTTGTGTGGTTTTATTTGTTTGATTTCATGCAGCAAATCTAAGTGTGGGAAAATGTGTGACTTCTCTGACTCCCAAAGAGGGCAAAATGCTGTAGTGCAGATGATCCAAGGCTTGGTAGTGAAGGCTGCTAACCTGTTAGATAGTTCTTGAGAAATCGGCGCTCACAATATTGTAACTAAAATGAGCTCCGGGAAGCAGAAACTCCATAATGTGTTGAGAGGTGACAGGATTACAGCTACAAAATTAAATGCAAAGCAAATCGAGCATCTTCTCAACTCCTCTGTTTAGAGCTCAGTGCAACTGAAACCATGGCTAAGTGTTTGGTGTTGGACAAAACGTTAATGGCGCTTTGTGCAAAGACCATGAGAAGAGGGTGGGAAAGAGAGAGAGCAAGAGAGCCTTGCTTCACCTTTTGATAAAACGAACATTTTATGCCCATCAAACCTTTTGCTTGGTAGTTTGAGCCCAGAACTGTGTTTGAATTTTAGTTTAAACAAAATGTGTTTACTTCAAAGTTTAAAGTGACAATGTGTAGTTTTTACCTTCAATCTCCAGAATTATCCACTGCAACATTGTTGAAAATGAATAAAATGATGTCCAGTCATTGAAAATTATTGGCTGCTTTGTAACATTTAACCATTAAAATCAGGTCTAGCATCTTTGGGGGACATCATATTAGACGCCATGTTTCCTTCTGGCCGGCTCGGGGTCCTGTGCCTGTTGATGACATCATACTAGACGATTGGCTGAAAGTTTGACTAACGCACCACATTTGAAGAAAACATTTAGGCAGTAAGAAACATGATAACAAACCTGCTAAACTCTTTCCAAAACCTAAGTGAAAAACAGAATCAAAAAAGAGATGCAATATATTTTGGCCGAGTGGTGTTGCCGTAGAATGATGACATCATCGACAGGCGCAGGACCCAGAGCAGATCCAGGAATTCCAGTGCCAGAAAACTGGCATCAGCATTGCCATTCTCTCGATGGAGTTAACTGAAGGCCCTACAAAGTCTGAGGAGTCTCGCCGAGGCCATATGCTTTGTCCTCCACAGGCAACATTTACTGTAATGTTTTTGAACTAGTGACAGTCATGGCAACATTGTGTAAAACTACCCTGAGATGTATGTGCTGCCCCCTAGTGCTAGGAAACTACACACTTCCACTTTAAAGACAGAAACTGTAAATAGTACTTTTGCTTTGTTGTTTTCAGCATCTCCACAGGTTTCTGCAAACTTTAAGGTTGTCTTCTTAGAACCAGACTCAGATTAAGTGGGTGGCTCAGGGGTTGGTGGGTTGCAGGTTTAAACACCAGCTCCATCTGTTGGTGTCATTGTGTCCTTGGGCAAGACAGTTCTCCCTCCTTGCCTATTGGTGGTGGGCAAGGATATAAAGAACATCTACATATGGGGAGAACACATTTCTTTGTGGATGATGGCATCAAATTTTACGGCAGCCTTCTGTCAGTTCTCAGGACAGCTGTAGCTATGATGTAGCTCATCACCACCTCTGTGTGGATGGTTGAATGACTGATTTGTAGTGTAAAGTGCTTTACAGTCCTCTGACTTTAAGTGCAGGACATTTACCATGGTCACAAGAGGCTTCAGTCTGAATGTGCTGCTCTGATACCATGGACAGTTCCTGGTTGTCTCCAGCTGCTGCTGTGTTCGTGGATATGTTTCAGCTGTCAGGTGTTTAACCTAAGTTTTAACCAATACTG